AATGAACCTCGGTCAGCAATTTTGGGTAAGGAATTATTCTTTACGGTAAATTGTACAACCCTACGTGGGCTTGGGCTCTTGGTCTTGGTCTTGGTCTTGGTCTTGGAGCACTGGGCGCGACTGTTCTATTCTAGGGCACGGGCTAGCCTCCTCCTGGCCTAGCCCGTGGTAGACTCGGGGTCACATGACAACTCCACATCAGGCCACTGTGGATAAGGCTGGCTTGTGCTTCTTATCGATACTGACCCTTCCAGCGACATCATTCTTCAACCTCTCCTCGTGTTAACTCCTCCCTCAGTTGCCTCTTGCTCTTGTTTTCCTGGAGGGCCATGGACAATTTCTTACTACTCTTCACATGCAACTCCATTCTCTTCTGACCTCTGCCCGACTAAGCGGGACGTGACCCCGGCGCATCTTCGGTGTCCCTTGTCCCGCAGTACTCCACCTATGGCGTCCACCAGCTCCCCTCGGGGACGCTCTACAAGGCAATCGCGGCCAGTTCGCTCGAATCGCACCCAGGTGCGCTCCTACAATGAAGACAGCGGACCGGAAGAATCTTTGGATGAAGACAGCGCGACCGACTATCAAAGGCCCCGACGCCTGTCGCTTTCCTTGCGACCACGAGATTCGAATCGCATTCCGAGATCGTACCGTGAGGAGTCGACAGATGATGACTTTGACAACGCTGGGGACGAAGGTCTTGATGATTCTCTTGACCAAACCTATCCTCATCTCGGTACCACTTCACAGACCATGCCTACAACACAACTGACGCCCACTCGCGCCCGTCGCAGACAGTCCGTGAAAACCAGGTCCCAGACACGCAGGGCAAAGAGGACTCCAACAAAGAGGCGCTTAGAACTAGGAAGGCCCCTCAACAAGAAGAGGAAGGCGGAAGAAACGGATGCTCCGTTTGTTAGTTCAGGAGTCATTCCCCCATGGCAGACTCTCCCGTACCATATACTATTCGACATTTTCCTCCGTGCCTCTTACCCGCTTGTGAATGAAAGAGAATTGAAGAGAAACAACGCGGCGAATTGGCTTGTAAATGTTGCCCTTTTATGTCGCAACTTTCATGAGCCGGCGCTAGCAGCACTCTACCACTCTGTGCCTTTGATACCTGCGCCCAAGTCTCATGGCCTGTTAAGTCTTCTTGTCAAACCTCAAGAGTCGATGTCTACCAATTATGTCAACAAGATCAAGGAGTTACATGTCGATGTGGAAGCCCTTCTAGTTTACAAAAGCGGTCCCACCTTAGGATACTTCGACCTACCGGCTTTAGTCGAGAATACGCCCCAGGTCAATGTCCTGAGGCTTTACCACAGGGACGATTTAATTGTTGGCCTTCCTTCGTCTTTTTCAAGATGGACCTATCCTGAGGGTCTTTTTGCGTCTATCAAATCGAGTTCGCTCCGACTTCGCAGTTGGGACTGGAATGCTCGTTTCATGAACACACAAACTCTGCTTCCGCTCATTCTAGAAAGCCATAACCAGGCTTCGTTCAAGTCTATTCGTGATCTCAGGATACTGCGTATGTCTGCGGAGGATCCCGATGGCAGTGACCAGGTTGAAGGGATGTCTGACCACAGAGAGGATGTTTTGGCTGCTGCTCTCCAAGAGCTTCCCAATCTGCGCCGTCTTGAGTTTTCGGAGACCACCATCCTAAATGACCATCTTTTACCGAAACTACCCTTGAACCTGAAATCCCTCACCATAAGCAACTGTGATGATGTAACAACGGCCAATTTTAGCCTCTTTCTTAGCACTCATGGTCATGGACTGAGGGAATTGAACCTCAGCCACAACCGTCATTTGAGCCTTTCCTTCGTTGTTGATCTCAAGGAGCTTTGCCAGAACTTGGAAAAGTTTACCATGGACATTTCGATATACGACTGGTCGTCATATCATGACATTGAACCTCATTTCGATGAGCTGCTTTCCCCTTCAGAAATTCCAACATGGCCCGACACCCTGCAACATCTAGAATTAATTCAGCTGCGCAGGTGGAAGGAAAGCACAGCCGAAGCCTTTTTCGCGTCCCTCATTGACGCCGCACCGGAGCTTCATAATCTACGAAAACTCGTGATTAGCGCGATTCTCAAGACCGGATGGCGTGACCGCGCCTCTTTCCGCGAAAGGTGGATTGGCAAGCTCGAGAAGGTCTTCCTGCGGCGAGATGCGCCACCCAACCCGGACCTTTGCACTATCGCGCGGAATCCGGAAAATCAGGATCCAGACAAACCAACTGGAGGCTCACAACCAAACGAGGTCGAATCATCCTCGCCATCGAAGCGGAAAAGCGCGCGGATTGCCAGCCTCAGGCATTCCGATGGTGAAGGTTCCCAGTCCCCATCGCCTAGAAACCGTCGGTCGAATGGGCATGACAGTGACTCTGATCCGTCCATGACTCAAGGCATGTGTGATGTTGTGGAAATCCGAATCGACAATCAGCGCCCGAGGGAAACACAGTTTAATGAGCAGGATTTCTTGGACGATGAACTGAGCGGGGACGAAGATTGGACTGGACACGATGTTGATATGGGTGGCGGTGGCCATGCTTGGTAAATGCACAACAGTCGCAAGCTCTACTATCCAAGCTTGCCACTTAGGTCTGCTGAAAAGCACGTCTCCTTTTTTTTATTTGTACTTGATAGTCTTTTCTTCCTGGAGCAGCCGGTGTTTTGAGCTATACAGGACAGGTAGATTATGGCGTTCTCTACGTTGGTCTTCGGCGTCTGCTCAAGTGGATTGGTGGCTTTTTGTTTCGGGTCAAATCGCTATGTATTTCTCTATCTGTCCGGCTCCCTTGAACGACCGCATCAACAATAATATACTTTGTACCATACTGGCTACTAGCTTTGATAAGGGGCAAGGATAATGACTTCACATACCAGCCCATTCGTGAGTTGAAAGCCATGGTGCTTGAGCAGATGCCTTGTGATGTGACGGGTGCTGCTCACCTGCCCACTCTGCTGCCGGTACCCCAACCTGAAAATCAAGCCAACGTCTCTCATCAATCAGATTTCTGGAGTCGCCAACGCTCTCTTGACCGGTGCCGGAAACTGGAATGACTACACACGTGGATCCCGTAATCCCCGTGTTCTAACAAGCAGGCGCATATACTCCGTAGCGAATACGGGCCCCTCAATTCTCAAGAGAAAATCAAACTGTCCATTTAACTCAAAAGCGAACAGGCCCTCAAACAAAGGACGACTAGTTCGCTAACCTGGTTAACAAGTTCCATTCTAACTCGGATGTACTGAGTTCGATTCTCAAACCCAATGACGATGTCGCAGTCTCCGGATGTCGATAATCAAGTGGAGATTGTGCGGTCAAGTTCCTTTCGTCGATTCAGCCGCTCTGTGGGCTAATTCCGTTTGCCACAAATCCAATCTGAGCTCGGATTATCGAGAGGACTTGTGAGTGATTTCTCTCGCGCCATAGCGTAAGCACAAAGTTCACTGTGGGTATTAACGGCAATGCTCCAATGTAGCGCGAGCGATACGACCTCCCTCAACTCGATGATTACCTCTCACCGATTCGAGAACAGTCGCCGCAATCATGCCTACAAAGATGGTGCATATTGGTATGAGCACGCAGTCAGTAAAGGGTCGGAAGGCTGATCCTTGTATCATTCAGGGGTCTAAATGACGAGCAGCAGAATGAGCAATTGGAGATTGCGTACATACATCTACTCCCTTGTGATGTCCGCAGTTGTTAACGTCCTTGGTAGTCACCACATTTTCACTATGCTGCTCGACAACAAATTGGTACTTGCGCCGGTAGACAGGGACATCCAGGTAAGAAACAAGCTGACGTCCGGAGTAACTGTACCAGAGACTAATCAGTCGGCAGAGAGCCTTGATGTCGGTACAGGAACGGGCATCTGGGCGATGTAAGTAGCTGGATACCACGAGGGCGAGATATATATATACTAACCAGGATTATTCAGCGACTTTGCTGAAGATTATCCCTTCGCTGAAGTTATTGGCACAGACCTGTCGCCCATCCAGCCTAGTTTCGTGCCACCGAATCTGCGATTCGAGATTGACGATGCAACTGAAACCTGGGTTTACCCCGAGAACCATTTCGATCTGGTTCACGTGCGTTCTATGTATGGAGCAGTTGCGTTGCCGATTGGCCTGGCCTTTACCAGAACGCTCTCAAGTGATATCGCCCGTCCTGGTGTCCTGGAATACAAGGCTAACAAGACTTAGGGCATTGCGACCAGGCGGATGGATCGACCAGCTTGGAATATCCATATAATTTCGATCCGACGACGATCCGGTAACAGACGAGTATGTCCTAGCAGTCTGGTCGAAGACATTCATCGCCGCCGGCGAGGAATTCGGCAAGACGTCCAGATCGCAGAGCGTGCGGCAGGATATATGCAACGTGCCGGATTCCAAAATGTGACCGAGCGTCGATTCAAATTACCCATTGGTCCCTGGAGCGGATGAAGAAACTGGGACTGTGGAACTTGTTCCACTGCGAGCACAGTATTGAGGGGTGGGCAATGGCGCTGCTAACGAGGGTCATTGGGGTGAGTTTCTTGTGCTACGTCCCCGCTCCCAGGGGTAGGGCAGATAACACGGCGATTTGACAGCTGGACTGATTGGTGTTCCTGGATTGAGTGGTCATATGACGAAGTCCAGACTCTTTTGGCTGCAATGCGCAAAGTGCTTCGAGACCCAAATACTCACCCTTACTTCTATGTGTGAGTCAAGCTCCGGTTAGGTTTCCTCTCAACCGTGGTCATGGGCTCACCGATCTCTGACAGCGTTGGAGTGTATGGGCAGAAGCCTCTCGCATGACGACTTGCGTTGCAGGTTCTTACCGAGGCAATGGCGTTGTGTCTTCTAGGGCTAGATAACGGCTGTCTACATCGCTCTGGTCTAACCGGAAATCTCCAATCAGCGTTTGTGAGAAGCTACTGGCTAACAACTGCAATTGGTTGGCTTTAACTCCATGGGAAGGGTAAGCATACAATCTCAAATCTTTCCCAGCGCCCATAAGCCGTCATTCATTGGGTAGATTGCAACTTACGTTGTAGGTAAATCACCGCCCCGACGTATACTTCGAAGTTATTGGCATGTTCAACGTGTTTATCAAGCTTTTCAGGATACTTATTAACTGCCTATTAGCTTGTCCAAGTACTGATTCTAAGTACAATAGAGCCACGCGCATGGATACGCTTACTAGCCATGCAACTCACGGGACGTCAGACACACCGTTCCATATCATGATACCGACTGCTCACTACTGCATTGACTACGGCACCTACTATGTATCAAGCCCGCTTCTTTACTGCCATTCGCGCTACGGGATATCGTGTATCTTCTCAAGTATGCTGTGCGAGATGTGGGTGTAACTTCGCCCATCGAGACTGTCCACTCACTAGCACCTCTACATTGCCGCCAGCCGGACGTACTACACAGCCTTGATGGCAAACACTCCTTAAGTGTCCGCTGACATGCCCTTCTCCAGAGCATCAGGTCTCTGTCTGACCACGGAGGCTTGCCATACCTTCGGCTTGAAGCTTCATGCCAATTTAATGAAGAGTTCCCCGCTCCATCCACGGTGTCTCCTGATTCCGAACGAGAGGAGACGAACTTCACAAAGAGTTCTCTTAGTCCTTTAGCTATGGAATTGAACAGCATAATCTGGCGTTTGGGAACTTTGCTATTGGTTGGGACTTTATTCCGAACAGCCTGGATCGTCGTATATCGGCTCTTTTTCCACCCCCTCGCAAAAGTCCCTGGACCGCTTCTCGCAAGGATCACTTGGCTCTACTCCTTCTGGTACAATATCGCAACCAAAAGGTTCTATCTTCACGTTCAGGAGCTGCACGAGGAGTATGGTACGACACCTCTCAGTGCTTTGAGCCCTAAAGATCCACTAACAGCCCAGGCCCGGTCATCCGAATCACCCCGGACGAAATCCACCTCAGCGACCCCGAAAATCTAGAGAAGATATACTATGTCGGCTCAAAGTATCCCAAAGATGCTGCGTTCTACGGTGTATTCGGCGCTGATAAATCCGTATTTACCGCGCCGAGCCCGGAAGTCCACCGCATCAAAAGAGCCGCATTGAATCCGTTCTTTTCCCGGAAGAAAGTCCTTGAGTTAGAGGACATTGTGCAAGAAAAGGCAGAAAAGCTGATTGACCGCATGAAGAAGGCGTTCGATTCCTCCAGCGGCATCGACCTTCACCACGGCCTCCGCGCGATATCAATCGACGTTATCACGGATTATGCATTTGGCAAGTCCTACGGTTTCCTCGATCGGGATGACTTTGGGGTAGCCTTTTTCAATGGCTTCCGGGACACGGGGCCTGCACTATTTACGTTTCAGCAGTTTCCTTTCCTCCAACGATTGGGGAAGAAAATGCCCCTTTGGTTCGCGAAGCGCGTCAGTGCACCGTTGGCGTTGAGGAAGTCGCAGCTTATGGTACTATCTGGTAGCAATGTATGAGTTCTCTGCTGATTCCGTCTAGAGCTCTCGCGTCCAGGTCCTCAAAGTGAAAGCTGCGGTTGAAAGAGGTGATAAGGTCTCTCGGACTACCATCTTCCACGAACTATTGCGGCCAGATGCAGCAGAAGGATACACGGTACCGAGTGTGTCGGATCTCTCGAGCGAGGCCCAGAATATACTTGGTGCTGCATCAGATACAACGGGAAATGTAAGTCATGTGCATGGTAGACATGCTGAAGTGATGACGGCCATTGCAGATGCTCTGAATCAGGCGCTAATGGCCATGGTTCAGACTATGACTATTGCAACGTATAACGTCGTTCGGAATCCAGACATTTATGTCCGATTGTCTGCCGAACTTAAGAATGCGTTTCCGGACCCAGAGGGGCCATTGAATTTTGTTGCGCTGGAGAAGCTCCCGTACCTGGTAAGCCACTTGCATATATCTCGGGAAGCTGAGTCTTTAACAGATCAGACTGCCGTCATAAAAGAAGGACTACGGTAAGCCCTAGACCACCATCAGTCTATCATAAGCTAACAGAACCAGACTGTCCTTTGGGGTTCCCGGCCGGCTCCCTCGCGTAGTTCCACCTCCAGGGGCCGAATTTAATGGCTATCGCGTTCCACCAGGGGTATGTTATGCTCCCTTCACTATCTACCTATGCTGATCTAGTCGCCTCTAGACCGTAGTCAGCATGAGCTCCTGGATTATGCACCATAACGAGGACATATACCCCGATGCAGAAAGATTCAATCCGGACCGCTGGCTTGATCCCTCTCAAGCAAAAGTAGGTGAACGATATCTGTTCTCGTTTGGGAAGGGGACGCGAGGATGCGTCGGGATGCCGTATGTTCCCCTTTCCCTTCATGTGCCCTCCGTGGCTCTAATATTGGCAACAGACTGGCCTACTGCGAGCTGTACGTGACGCTTGGCCGGATATTCCGTCAGTTTGATAGTCTGAAGACGCCGGCGAAAAGTCGGGAAGAGATGCTCTTGGACGATGGATTTTCGGGGTACCACCCGGAGAGGAATAATAAGTTTGTGTTTAGTGTGGAATAGATGTCTTGCCTTTGTTATGCTTTACCATTTCTGTGAAGTGTTTCATGCTATTGTGCCTTGTTCTTTCAGGTTTTGGCATTGCTATTGTTGGGCCTTACCAATGAATTTGAAGTGACTCCATGGTCCGTGTCATTTCTCTCACTCAATGCTATTCACCCAGCAGTAGAACCCTCTTCTTACACCTTTCTTTTCCCTCCCATCTCTCTTCTTCTCCTTCCTCCCCTCTTCTTCCCCATAAACCACGCCACTTACTTCCACTCCTACTCTTCCTACCCTCAGCTTCATCTACCATTAACCGTGACACGCATAGCCATACACAACCCACTACCTCACTCTCACAAAGAAAAGATCATCATCCACGCCGACTAACAGACCCGCCAACATGCCTATGAACTGGACTGACCAGGCCGATGTGAAGGCAAGTACCCCCATCCTTATTCCCCTACCATCAGCATCCCGAGATGCAAGCTAACCCAAGTCCTCTTCGCCACGTAGATGCTCATGGCCATCATCACCTCAGCGAACGCCAAGGTGGACTACAAGGCGATTGCGGAGTACATGGGATCTGGTAAGCCTCTCGCATCCATTCCCAGCACTACCTCCAAGCCAAATGCACTCTCCACAAATCCAGAACCCCCTGCTGACTTACCCTTACTCTATCCAGAATGCACCCCAAAAGCCGTGATGCACCGCTACCAGCGTCTCCGCGACAAATTCAAAGCCGCAGACTCCCTCCCCGCCAACGACGACGATGCAAGTGCAAACGGCAACGGCGCCGCTGATCTTCCTGACCCCGTGAGCCCTGAAAAGCGCAAGAGAGGTAGAGCCAAGAAGATCGAAGCCGCTGCTACCCCTGCCACTCCTGGCGACGAAAACGAGAACCCTGCCATGGCGGATGTACAGGACAGTCCAACCAAGAAGGCTAAGGGCAAGCCTAGGCGTAGGGGAAAGAAGGCTGCGGTCAAGGAGGAGGAGACTACGGATGCAGAGCTGGATTAATGCTGATTTGGCTTCGGGATGTTCTTGCATTGAGGATCGGGGAATTGGAAATCAGGTTCTCAGGGCTTTAGGGAGTTCGATCTGGTCATGGTGCATATGGATGGATTGTTGTTGCTTCTTTCTTTGAATCCGGAGGATATGAGAGTTTTTCTTTTTACTATTATCGGGCTCAGGTTTGGTAACCAGAGTGTCTAGGAGGTGAGGGAAATAGCAAGCTTGGTTTCCTCAGTGTTATTCTACTTGCTCTTTACTTCTCACTTCAGCAATAAATAGGTCCCTATTTAACCTTTACTTCCTTGTCTCGCTTTCTTTCTCTCCTACAACATACTACTCTTCCTCTTCTTACTCCTGACCTTTCTTTCACACTTACCCAACTGCCACACTCTCAGACCATTCTCCAGCTTCATCATAAGCTATTCAGCTTACCATCCACACACTTTAATACCTCACATCCGCTCCACCCAGAATCAGAAACCCATCCGTATCAAACAAACAGCAACCACCAGTCAAGATGCCGATGACCTGGAATGACGGCGCTGATGCCAAGGTACGTACCCTCCTGCTAACACTCAGTATACACCCTCCCAAGCTTCAAGATTCATGCTAACCCAGCACCTGCTGTCTAGCTCCTACTGGCCATTCTGAAGACCGCAGAGCCTAAGTTGGACCACAAGGCCATCGCAGACATAATGGGCCCCGGTAAGACTCTCTAACACATCCGTTCCTATCACACCACTGCGAGCTTCGCCTACTAACTTCCACAGAATGTACTCCCATCGCCGTCCAGCGCCGCATCCAGCGTCTCCGCGAAAAGATTAAGATCCCTGACTCTGCTACTGCCGGTGATGGAGACGCAAACGAGAACGGCAACGGTGCTTCCGATGGAGCTGCTGGTGCTTCTGTCCACTCAAGCCCGGACAAGCGCAAGAGGGGCAGGGCAAAGAAGGGCGCTATTGCGCCGGCTCCCGGAGACGAGAACGCTCTTCCTGCCTCGGCGGATGTTGACGAGAGTCCTACCAAGAAGACCAAGGGCCGCCCTAGGGGAAAGGGCAAGAAAGCCGCCATGAAGGAGGAGGAAGAGGATGTTCCTGTTGGAGAGGAGATGGTCGATGCCCCTGTCAAGGCGGAGGAAGACATCACCGATGCGGAGATGGCTTGATCTTTATTTGTCTTGGGAATGTTCCTAGACTGAGAACTTGGGATTCGAAATTCAGACTTGCGAATACTTGGAGGATCTGCGCTGGTTATGATGGGTAGGGATGGATCTTTCTTGTTATTCTTTTTTTTATCTGGGGCATGAATGTTTCTTCTTTCAAGCTTCAATGCGCAAAGCACGAGATCGTGATCTTATTTTGTTTACAGCTCGTCGAACATCGAGCAAGACCAGCTTCCCTAACAGTCGAGCTTAGCCTGCATCTACTACGGTGATGATTCAATGATTTACTTGCGTTCCTTCGTACTTATTTGATGCACGAACAAGATTCCCATTGAGCCGTAAATCAAGAAGACAAAACATAAGTTACAGATGTCTAGCAACGATACATGCAGCCCCGAGACCTCTAGAAAAGCAAACCGAACGCCAACAGTCAAATAACAAACCACAGCTTATCCCAATATGGCTAGAAGTACTATGAATTCCCATCTATTCTTTCCGAGGCTTCGACTCATCCACCACCTCTTCCTTAACCTGAACGTCTCCCATATCCAAGTCCTTCTTCTCCTCAGACATATCCTTCGGCTCATTCTTGATAGGCCCCCAAGCAACCGACGACCGATACCCAGTCTCGTACGCAGGAACAGGCGGGTAAGCAGGCGTAGCCGTATACGCAGGCGGGGAAATCCTCGGCTCCGGAGCCAACGACATCGAATAATGATAACGCGCAGCCATGGACGGCAAGTACGCAGACGAGTGCGGCGTGGGCGGGTAGTACTGCGGGATATCAGCGAGACGGGGGATTGGGATATGCGCGTAGCCTGAGCTAGACGACTCCTGCTCAGTCTTGATATAGGGCGGGATCTTTTGGTCGCAGACGTTGTGCTTCTCTTCGGACGGCTCGGGTTTTATCGCCGGCATGAGTGTGGGTGAGGGGGAGCGCATGGCTTTTTGTAGGCCTGATTTGCAGGAGGCCGCGGTCTTGGAGGAGGACTTGTTCGTGTTCGCGTTTGCGGCGCGCTTTCGTTGCTGGGGCTGGTAGCCTTCCATCTGGTTGCGGAAGCGGTGGTAGCGCATGCGGGCGGCGTGGCCGTTGGAGATGTCGAGCTGGGAGGCGACGAGGCTCCAGTCGATCTGGGCTGTTAGCAAAGCAGGCATGGGAGAGGGAGTAGTGTACTCACGCCCTTGAGGTCGAGCTGCTTGATGATGGTGTAGAGGAATTTGGCGGTTGGGCTGTCGATGGGCATGGTTTTGCTGCGGCGGACAACGGTGGGTGCGGACGCAGACTCCTTCGCGGAGCTTGACAAGGATTCCTTGATTGGAGACATCATGAACGTCGTGGAAAATGTTCCTGAAAAGTGAAGAGAGTGGAGCTTGTCCTGAAGATGATGTAGCAAGATATTGGGAGAAGAAAAAACACACCTGGTCGCACATCTCACTATATATGGGGTCTCCTTAGAGAATGAACCCTAATAAAAGAGGTGAGTTAATGGTAGGAGTCATTGCTCTCAACAAAGAGAAGAGCAGGCATCTTCATCTGCTGGCATTCTAAAGTCCAATAGAACAGAAACCTAAGAGAAATTGTGATCGTGAAGTGGTGGTGGCAGTTTGGCTGAAAGGAGGGGAGCGGCATGTCTTAGATGCGGTTGTCCTCAAAGCATGACGCAAACCCGACCCGCTTGGCTGTTGGCAGCTCCATTGTTGATGTAGGAGCAATCAGGATTCTAGAAGATCAGGCAGCATTTTCACCCTAGGGCTCATGGATCACTATTTCTCTGTTTACTTCAGTTATCCAAGTATGTCACGTGGTCCCTCTTGCCCTGAAAGAGGAGCAGCAGGACAACACACCTGAGCATGTAGTGGAATTGCATCTGGTGACAGTTCACCTCAAAGCATTGTCTTATAATAGATAAATACAGTTTTTGCAGGGCTCCTTGGTGTCTTAAAGTAATATTTGGAAGGCATGGTTACCTGCATGAACTGCCGGCCATTGCCAATAACGCCAGTTGACAGGTATGGTAGGAGCATAGAAGCTGAGAGCATCAGAGATACAAGAATAATCTTATCCCCACCAGATACTGTTGGATCGGCCAGAGGAGCTACTCATGGAGATGAAATGAAAATATCGCAAGATAAATAATAATATTATAAAATAATAAGTAAATCTAGCTAAAAAATAATCTATATATAAAATTTTTAATAAAAAAAATAATATATAATAACACTAGCCTCTTTAAAATAAGCACGGGAAATAAAATTAATTTAGGCTAAAGGCTTTTAGTAGCTTTTATAACTTGCTAAACCTTTACTTTAACACAGCCCCCTAGTATTAACATGCTAAAGCTATATAAAACTTATAAAAATATAAAAATTATAAAAATATAGTGGTTAGGTAGCCAGAATTTTAATTTTTTATATTAAATTTATTACTACTAATTTTAATATTTTAATAAAACTTTAAAACTTTATTTTATCCAGCGCTTTTATTAGGCTATTTACTAGGTTTTTAGTTTTATTAATTTTTTTAAAATTTATAAGGTTTTTAGTAATAAAATTTTTTATTAAAAAATATTAAATATTTATTTATTTAATTCCTAAAGTATACCCCGGTTTCCCTAACTTAATAATTATATTTACTAAATTTATATAAATTATTATAGGTTTTTTAATATTAAACCTTAAAGCTGCATATAACTTTTTAAGTTAAATAACCTTTTTTATTACTATATTAAATATAATAAATTTTACTAAAGTTAAACTTCTGGCTATAATTAATTACCTTGTGGATTTCCAAGAAATAGGCATGCTATAAAAATAAAATATATATACCTTTATTAATTTTTCTTTTTTATAGTTAATATATAAACTATTTATATATTTAACTAGTACTTTATTATTTACACCTAAAAGAATACTAAGATTTTAATACTTTTTAAAATATTAAAATATATACTTAACTATGGTAAAGTTAGTACTTTAAGAATTTAAAATATATTTTAGTAATTTTATAGTAGTGTATTTAATATTTAGCCTTGTTTTTTTAAATATTTAGTTAAGTTTTTTTATTAAGTGTTAATACTTTAAAATATTTTTTTTATAATAGTTTAAATATAGCAACAGCCGCCTTTATTAAGTATTTTTAACCTAGATTTATTAAAATCCTTTGCCCGTTTAATTTATTAAAGTTTAATTAATTTAGGATTTTTTAAATATAAGTTTTTTAAAAAATAAGTATCCCTTTTTTTATAAAATTAATATTATATCCCAGGAACCGCTTTAATTTTTTAAGGATTTTAAGCTTAAAGTACTTAGCTAACTTTTTTAAAAACTTTTTATAAATTTTTTTTATAAGTACTGCTATTAAGGTATTATTTATATAAATAATTATAATACTACCCTTATAGGCGTAATAAAAAAAATATAAATTTTTTTTAATACTTTAAAGGCTTATACTTTTTAATATATTTATAAACATTTTATTTTAAAGATATATTATTTTTTTTAATTTATATAAGGCGCGGAGGAGTAGGTAAATAAGATTTTTTTTTTTTAAACCTATAGGTTACTTTATAAGAACCTTTTCTTGCTTTATTATAAAGTTAAAATAAGTAATTATTATATTAAATTAAATATAGTAGTAACCCCTCTTATAAATAGCTATAAAATAAATTTTTACTAGTATATTAATAATAACTAAAGTGTATATTTTTAGGTTATTATTTTTAACTTAAAAGTTACTACATGTAACCTAGCGGGCGCGGAACTTCTTAATATTATTTTTTTTATTTTTTTTAATATTAAAAACCTATTTTCCTAGTATGATTTTCTTTTTTTTTTAAATAGCTAAAAATTAGGAAACTAATCTTTATGCAGGGACGTTTTTTAGCTTAGTATTTTATTTATTTATTATTTTAATCTAGTACTTTTTTTAGGGAGATTTTATTACCTTTTTATAGTTATTTAAAATTAATATTTTATAGGTCTTAAAAAAATAAACGCTATTTAAAATTAGTAGTGTAGGTAAAGCTAATAAATTAGGTAATTTTAACTTTATTTTTTTAATATTTTAATATTTTTATTCTTGCTTTAATTACTCCGCTTGCTTATTTATAAAGTATACTAATTTAAATTATTTTTTATTARCTTTTTTRCTAGGYAAAATTAGYCCTAAATCTTTTATTATAAATTAAAAGTGTTTTTCTTTTTTTTTTTTTTTTTTTWTTTTTWTAATATTATWTTTTASCCTTAAAGTATTAAGCCACGGCTATACGTGTTTTATTATTAATTTTTAAAAATAGTAAGTTTTTTAAAACTTCTTGCTCTAAAACTACTTTATCCTTTTTTATTTTAATTAATTATAATATTTTTTATACTTATATTTCCTATTTTCTGTAAGGCAAGAATACTAGCATATTATTAAAAATAAATAAACTTAGTAATTTACTTGCTTGCATTCTTTTTATCTTTTTTTTTATATTTTTTTTTACTTTTTTAACTTCCTTAACTATCTTTTTAACTATTAGCTCTTTAAATAGTTATATATAATTTATACTAGGAGTATTTTCTTCTTCTAGTACTTATATAAGTTTCTTTTATATAATTATAATTTTTAATACTACTTTAGCCGCTAAAGGCGCTTTTTTTTTAATATTTATTAATTAAATGCCTAAGCACGTGGCCTTAACTAGTATATTAGCTAAGCCTTATAACTTAGTAATTCTTTTTTTTTTATTAGTATAAATTTTATAAATTTTAGGGCCAGAAGCACTAGATTTAGGAATAAGATTTAGACCCTTTTAGTTATAATAATCTTTTTACTCTTATTAGCTATTTATAAATTATTATTATTAAAATTTTATATTTTAAATTACTTATTAAAACTAACTAAACCACTAGGTCCTTTATTATTAGGATTAACTAGTAAATACAGCGGAGTAGGCAAAGGCGCTTTACTATTATTTTTTTTTTTAAATATAATATCTTTTAATTTAATAATCTTTCCGGACTTTGGGAAATATACTTTATAAATATAAAATTTTTTATATTTTACAAGTTTTTTTTTTTTTACTTTAGGCATTATTTTTAAAGCTTTTATTTTTATTTCCGCGGGGATATAAACATAGGCATTATATTTAAAAATTTATAAATACTTTAATAAAGTATTATTTAGCACTAGTATCCCCAGGCCTTTTATAAATTTTTTTACTAGTAGCTTTATTTTACCTTTTTAAATAAGTTAATTTTAAATATATAATATAAATTTAACTACTAGTAGCTATAGCTTTCCAGGTAACTTTATATTTATTATTATATTATAAGTAATTTATATAATATATTTACTAAAATACTTAATTTTACTATTCTTCTTAAATATATAGCTTAAAGTTTCTTTAAATTTAATACTAGTTTAATTCTAGCGGCACTAGGCCTTATAATTATTAAAATTTTTAGTATTATTACTTCTTATTTTTATAATATATACTCCGCTTATATTAAGTTATTATAAATATATATAAATAAGTATATTTACTATCTTATTCTTCTGGCGTAAGAACTAGCAAAAATAATTCTTAAAGTTATTATTAAGTATTAATAAAGCGTAGTTATATCCCTGTATACCCTAAGGCTTTACTAATTAAATATTAATATATATTATTTATAAAGGCTTTGTAGCTTATTATTAAAAAGTTTTAAAAACCTTTTTTTTTAACTTTATTAGCTTGCAGATTTTATAATTTATAATTATCTTATTATTTTAATATTTATTTTTTTTACTATTATTATTTAACTGCGCATGGTTTTTATTAAGTTATAATATTAATACATGGCCTAATTATTTATACTAAACTTTTATTAAAACTAAAGCCATATTTAAGCTTGTTTCCTTATTAATATCTGGTTTGCTTAACTAAGAAATATCTTTATTAATATAGACCTTAAAGATAACCTTATTATCCTTTATTTATTAAATTTTTAAAGATTTGCTGTTATACTAGAGGCCTAGGTTTATTTTAATTTTTTTTATTAATAAAATATTACACGGTAATTTAGGAGACTATAGGTAATTAAACTATAATATTAATACCTTACTATTATTTAACTAAACATATAAGTTAACTTTACCTTTTTTTTTAGGAATTACTTTTTTACTATTTAATGCAGTAAATGCGTGCTATAAAAGTTAAATAATATAAAAATTTTTTATAAGGTTTTTATTATTATATATAGGAATTCTGGAACTAGTGTTTACTAGCTATTAATTATAAAACTTAAATATTATTAATATAATAAAAAGTATAGTGCTATATATACTAAAGTTTACACTATATTTACCCTAAGTTTATTAAAAAATAGCGGCGGCGCTGGGCTTACTAGTATTACTATTTTTAGTATTATTATTATTTAAATTTATTAACTTAATAAACTTATAATACTAAATCTTGCTTAATAGCCACTAGCTTAATAGTTACTTTTTTAATATTAAATAATAATAATCTAGAGGATTATAAGGTCCTTTATTATAATAATTATATATTTTTTTTACTAATTTTTTTTTTAAAGCTATCCTTTTTTTTACTTACTGCTTATTAAACACCCCTTTTTTTAAAGTGTTTTAACAAGGTGCGTTCTATTTTTTATTCTTAAAATTAAAACTATTCTTATCCCTATTTTTATTTTTATTACTATTATTATTATTATTCTTTAGTACTACTATATAAATAAAAGTCTGGACCTTTGCCCTATCTAAAACTTTATAATAAACCTTTTAAAATTATACTATAATTATCTCTTTAATAGCGCTCGCGGGTATTAAAATATACTTTACTTTATAATATAAAGGTATTTTTACCCGCAGTTTCTTTAAAAGTAAGGAGAATTATTAATATAAAGTAATAATTATATTAAATTTATTACTAAATTTACACTTTTTATAAAGCGCTTTAATAAACTTTTAAATTATATTATAGCTAGCCTGGTTAATAATAATAGCTTTTTCCTAAATTATATAAGCTATTATATATTTATTTTTATTAAAAACCTAGTTAATTTTAGTATAAAACTTGTTTATATATAGCGCCTTTTTTAAATTTATATATATTATTTATATAATATTATTTATTAAACTCTTTGCAAGCTATATCTAAACTTTTTTTAATATAATTACCTATTTTTAATATAATATTAATATTAATATTAAGTAAAATATATTTTTTTTAATAAATACCTTAAGATTATATAGGTTTAGTTTTAGACTTATTAACTAGGTTTATATATTATAGTTTTCCCTATTTTTTAGTTTTTTATTTATTATATTAAGTATAAAGGCTTTTTTTAGTAAATTTATTACTTAATTTATTATAATAGTAAGAGTAAATATTATTTTTATAATAGGTATAGGAGTTATATTAAGCATTATAAAGCCTTTTAATATATTAAAAATAAAAATATTTATAAATATTAATTAAAATTAATTAATTAAATTTTAGGGCTTTTAGTGCTACTATCTTAATTAATTATGTGTAAATTTTTAGTTATAATATAAATAAAAATATATAATATTTATAAATAAAATTTTAAAAGAATTAGGGGCTTATAACCTATTAAATTAGTTAAAAAAATTATTTATAAAAATAAAATAAAAATATTATAAGATAAATAATAATATTATAAAATAATAAGTAAATCTAGCTAAAAAATAATCTACATATAAAATTTTTAATAAAAAAAGTAATATATAATAACACTAGCCTTTTTAGGATAAGCGCGGGGAATAAAACCAATTTAGGCTAGAGGCTTCTGGCGGCTTCTACGGCCTGCCAGACCTCCGCTCTGACAGATACCACTATCAGTCTATAACCTTGGATAAGTAATTGCACTTGGTGATGGAGGAGCTCGGGCAGATGGTGCCCTATCTTTCACAGACTGCCAGCAAGCCAAACGATGGCACAAAATGTCTCAGCCTACTTCTCCAGCTTATGTTGGGCCACGGCAATCAGACAGTCTCACCGCTCATGAATGTTATTCTCTCCTATAAGGATAATATGTTCTCATCTGAGATTCTCTCTCGCGGCAGTTCCGACCATGGGCAGCCCAAGCGGATCTTCCCCCCGCAATGTGAGGTCGTTTCGCAGCGAGTCGCAGGCACCAAGAATACATACCTTTTTTTCTTCTCAAATTATCAGCGTCCAAAGACAGTTATCGAGCTTTACGTGTCTTGACGTGTTGTTACGCGTGCCACCGCGACGCATCATGGGCAAAGGCGTTGATGCTAAGACGCGAAGCGACTCTAACTCTTCCTTTCTCTCTCACCTTTCCCAACAGCAATATCTTCGCTCTTCTCCACCTCATTGCTCCCATTTACTTATATCCAAGGCTGCTAAAGATCCGCAATGGCAGGATCGCAACGCGAGAGGGCTGCCTCGAAGCGCCGTCCCCCGGTGGTCTGGGATCATCGAAAGGACAAGTTCATGCTTCTTGCTCTTTTCTCCCAGCTGAACATTAAGACCGCAGACTTTGATCAGCTTGCGGACGTGCTGGGAAGTGAGGTCTACTCCGCGAGCGCTTTGAGGTACCCTTCTCCTACTTCCATACACTGTCAAGGCACAGTCAACACAGTCATGGCCGATGCTAATACATCTATTTATCAACTAGAAGACGATTCAAGGAATTACGAGAGGCTGCTACGGAGGTCTTCGATGATCGACAGGACCGCAATGCTGATGTTTCCATCGTGGAAAACCATCGTGACCACGACGATGACATTCTTGAATTTTTCAGGGATAGACCGGCCGTCCAGAGAGTTGCACCAAACCTTCCGACATCTCCTCAACCTAGAATACGATCGAGTCCCGTGTCAGAGCTTTCAGCGAGCTCCAAGGAGCCTGCACCTCCCCGAGGACTAGAGCTTTTTGCTCAGCCAACTCCTCCAAGCTCCGCTTCTTCTACGCGTACCCGCCCTGAAATCATATCCTATGCGCGTCCGGAATCTTCTCGATCTACTCTTGCTACCACTTCCGCTAGCAAGAACAAATCACCCGCCAAGAGCTCTAATCTCAAGTCGAACACCCAACACAGCCCTAATTCTTCCGGAAAGAAACGCAAGCGTGCTGAAGATGACCTACCCAAGATCTCAACTTCCAACAACAATGGACAAGATGGTAATAACCAGCGCAATGCTCATACCTGCGATGACAGAAAGGTATTCTGCTCGTACTGGATACGCAATGGTGAATGTGACTTCATGCAGCAGGGTAAGAACAGACTGTTTTTTCACGACGCATAGTTGCTAACCCGAGCTTATTTAGGATGCATCTACAAGCACGAGATGCCTCATGACCTTGCCACTCTGGAGAGACTCGGCTTTAATGACATTCCCCGCTGGTATCGTAAGAAATACCGCATTTCCAGTCTCAAGAAGAAGTCCGCCGAGTCGCCACAGGCAAAAGTTAAAGTCAATGAGCCACCGCGTATTAAACCCTCAATGGGTTCAGGTACTGATGCATCTTTTGGACAAGACGATGACGAGTGGGACTGGGACTACAGAGCTTTGCCAAAGAGCCCAGGTTCATCAGTGGTTTATTTAGGCAATCCTTCCGGCGCCAGTTCTCCGTTGGCTTCAATGCTTGAGCGAGATGTGCGTACTCTGCCTTTCCTTGAACTGTCAGTACTTTGGAGCTTTTTGATTAGATGATACTGATCTTCGAACATAGGCGAGACCAACCCAAGATCCGGAAGCATCTCGTTCAAGACCTGCGGAGCCCTGGAGACTCTCCACTATCCAGATTTCTCAGTCGAGTAGCGGAGCCAAGCCAGTCAGCTCCTCAGAGCCCTCGAAGAAGTGGCCCAGTGGGATTCCACCAGCAGCCCCTAAGCGACTCTGGCTTTCCGATATGCCCAGAGTAACGCGCTGAGCTTATGGATCGACAACCTGTAAGGTGCTTGCTCTACAAGATCACTCGTTTGCGCTGTCTATCTACCTTGGGACTTGCCATTGGTGTTTGCTCTCGGTTTTTTGTGTGAATAATTCATGAATTTTTCGGTGGTTTTGCTCAGTATGAAGAGAGACCCTTGTGAATGATTAAGAGGGCTTGCATCTAGTTATTTGCCTCGAAGCTACGTTATGCCAGCTAGTGATTACAAACTGTAAAGTACAAATATGCTATTAATTTCTTTGAGATATCGCTATAGTAGCTTCCTTGATAGACCAGTGGGTCAGGCTGCCCCACCACACCCATCCCCGTCTTTATGATGCAGTCACCGATTTCTCTTCATAATTATCTTCAAGGCTTTCTCTCTCTTATGATTGAACTGTAAACTGTTCCCATTGCCGCCAACATAACAATTATACTCCACAAGCATCATGGCTTTGGTTGCAGTGGGCGCATGCTACGTCGATACCATCTTAACGTCAGTCACTTTCCTCCCACCACCCCCAGAACCGCGATGGGTCCGCTTACAACGACATCAGGACACCGCATTATCCTGGAGAAGATGACAAACTACGCGCGTCCAGCATCTCGCGCCGACGAGGAGGAAACTGCCCGAACACCCTAGAGGTGTTGCAACAGCTAGTGGCGCAAAGCGCACCCGCCTCGAAAACACAGCTGAATCTCATTGCCATTCTCCCTGCGAAAGAGTCTATTGCCTCGAAACAGATTCGGAATGCCTTTGAGCCTCAAGTATCCCTCAGTCACTGCATTCATCGCGAGGAGTTTCAGGAACCAGCGTCCAGCTATATCATCAAAAGCCAGGCCTCGGGCAGCAGGACGATCGTCAACTATAATGAACTTCCGGAGATGACACTAGAGGAGTTTGTTCAAATAGCTGATAGACTTGGTACCGAGATTGGGTGGTACCATTTTGAGGTACGTATGCACTTACTGGGTTGAAAATGGATGGATGTATTTTGCTTACACTCTCTGTTCCAGGGCCGGATACCGGATGTGACTCTTGCTTGTATACGCTATCTTCGACAACAGTATCCAGATATCAAAATCAGCGTGGAAGTGGAGAAACCTGGACGGGAAGGGCTACAGGAACTCGCAAAAGAGGCTGATGTAGTCTTTTACTCTAAGAGTTGGGCACAGGTAAGAGATCAGTGTGCTTCCTTTCCACGGTCATACTCACCCATTGCAGGCCAACGGGTACAGTTCAGCAGAAGAATGTATTCGGAAGCAGTCATCTCAAACACGCAACGCGTATGCGCACTTTCCCTATATCAAAGACATGCAAAGCTGACCAACCCGCAAGATCCTTCCTTTGTTGCACATGGGGTCAAGACGGGGCTGCAGCCCTTGAACCTTTTACTGAAAGACTCGTGCATAGCCCCGCTTACACACCTAAGGGCTTCAAAGTTGTTGAGTACGACTGACTGATACTCTCTGTCTAGCTAGAAGCTTTTCACTGACGCACTACTAGTACAATTGGAGCAGGCGACACGTTTATAGCTGGAATGCTCTACGGGTTGATCTTCAATGGAAATAGTTGGGACCTTTCGAAGAAACTCAACATGGCAAATCGACTTGCAGGAACGAAGGTCGCTCAGGAAGGTTTCAATAACCTTGGGAGCGTCCTAGAAGCATTCTTTTAAAAACGCAGAAGTAAACAGATAGTGGGTCATGCTCGTAACAGTAGTCCAAAATATATATCGGCGTTCGAACCCATCCTGACCAACCGTTACATCATTATCCTTAGCAAAACATACTAGCATATACCCCGCACAGCTGAGATAAACAGTCAAGTAAGCGAAACTAACTTTCAACTGTTTTGTCTAGACAGTTCCTGGGCTGGGGGTGTAGATCTAGTCGCCCTCGGGGAAGCGCACGTGACCGATATTGATATCTAAAGCGGTGTACTAAAAATTATTCTGCCGGCTGCCCGCAACTTTTTGATTTTCGCCGAAGCCTTCGCCGACAATCAAAGCACAATTTCAATTCTTACTCAATATCGCAATTCCTGCTCAAAAATGGCTGCAGTATACAAGGCGGTATCGAAGAAGAAGTCTCGCGAACTCGCGAGGCAACAGGATTCAGATGATGACGACGTTATGATGGAGGAGTTGCTCGACGACGCCGACGACACTAGCGATAGCGACGAGGATGAGGAAAACACCGCCGATGCTGCCAAGAAGCAGCTCGCTGCTGGAATGATGCCCAAAACCCGTGTTCTTATGCTCACCTCGCGAGGTGTCACATCTCGGTGAGTCCGCATTAGCAGTAGCTATATCAAAGTCGCAAAACTGATTGTTCTAAATTCAGTCACCGACATCTCCTCGCCGACATGACCTCATTACTCCCTCACACTCACAAGGAAAGCAAATTGGATTCGAGAAAGAAGGCCGCCGGTTACAATCTGCTCCTGAACTCCCTCGCTGACCTCAACTCCTGCAACGTAATTTTCTTCCTCGAGGCCAAGAAGAACGGCCAAGATCTGTACCTGTGGCTCTCGCGGCCTCCGAACGGCCCTACGATCAAATTCCATGTCAACAATTTGCACACAATGGCCGAGTTGAACACTGGGTTCGCCGGTAACTGTTTGAAGGGTGGTCGCGGTGTCGTTGTTTTCGACAAGTCATTCGACGAGCAGGGTCCCGTCATGAGCCAGCCGGGCAACGAGTACCGGGGATTGATCAGGGAGATGCTCCGCAGCGTCTTCTGTGTACCGAAGCGTGGTGTCAAGGGCATGAAGCCCTTCGTTGACCGTGTCATCGGTATCTACGGTGTCGACGGCAAGATCTGGATCCGAGTTTACGAGATCCGAGAGTCAGAAGGTGGAAACAAGAAGAAGGATGGCGAGGAGGAATCCGACAAGCCTGCATACAACCCCAAGGACGGCCCGGAGCTTTCCCTTGTCGAGATCGGTCCTCGATTCGTCCTTACGCCCATCGTTATCCTCGAGGGCAGCTTCGGCGGCCCCGTCATCTACGAGAACAAGGAGTACGTTAGCCCCAACCAGGTCCGTCGCGATATCCGGGTTAGCAAGGCTGCGCGGTACGCCAAGCGGAGGGACGTACAAACTGAGAGGCTGTCCAAGCGATCAGGCTTGGAGCTGGGAGCGGGCGAGAAGAAACCTGGTGCCCTGGACACCCGGAGGTTGTTTGGCTAATCGGCGCCATCGTTTGGATTTTCTATTGTCTTTGTTCGATGTACTCTTAGACTTGATATCCTCAAGGATGCATATGCGTGGGGTCCTTGTTCATGATTTTATCAGGCGTCTCTGGTTGACATATAATCAAAAGTTCTGAAGCTACTCTGCCTACCCTTAGTATCAGTTCTTTTTAGGACGCGAAAATAGCGACATAGGATACGCTGCTGCAAGGGCCGATTAGATAAGCGATAAGGGACATATAAGGAGCCCAGCTCGTCTCGAGCTCCCAATCTTAAACCCTCAGCCAGCATGGCATCACCCTCATCATCTAGCCGTGCGTGGCTACAGGGAGCTCATTCCCGTCTTCCGGTCATATCAACTACTGTTACCATGCCCCAGTCACTTCCCACATCGGACAGCCCCAACGGCGGGGTTGCAACCTAAGAGTCATACATCACTCGAGACGGTAGCTGGCTTGCTGCGACAACCACGCTGCCCCTTGCAATTGTATCACAAGATCGAAGCACTCAAAATTTTCATTGCAATCTGATAAACCTCTTGAATATAGGTCAGTTGCTAATGACTAACGACTGCTACCGCACCGCCATGGCTTTGGCTAACCTCTCCGTTCCAGAATATTGCGACCATGTCCTTCCAATATCTAGCAACGGAGCTTCTGCTCCACATATTTCGCTCATGCGATACTATCTCAGACGTTCTAAGCCTAGCAGCAACATCCCGCCGGTTTTGCGATGTCTTCAATCGATCGAACAAGCTACCAATTCTAATGAACGTTGCGGAGATGGAGTTCGGCCCTGTCGATGATATCATCCAGATTGCGACACATAACACCAGCCAACCGGCCCATCTATTCCGGACCGCGCCTCTCACCGCATCCCTTCTGGAACAAGTTGTTCGGATTGGCCGGGCTGCTCAGAAATGGGAGACAATATACCCCGTCAAGAAATGGAAACTCGACTACGAGAACAGGCGCTCGCTCAGCGACGAGGAGCGCTTCCGCTTGCGCCGCGCTATATACCGGCTCTGGCTATACCATCGTGCGTTCCATAGACGCGAGTACGATCGATACAGCCGTAGCCTGCGAAATGTCGTTGTCGAGCGGGCGCAGCTCCTCCACAACTGGACCACATCCGACCTAGCCGAAATGGAGGATATCCGCTCGGTCATTGGGGACGTGGTCCAAAACCACATCTGCCCCAGCAACGGGACAATTGCGCGAAAGTTCCGGAAGCGCTACCCAGAAAGCAACCACCAGTTAACCTTCAACATCCACTTAAACTATCCTATGACCAACGCGCTCACGCCCTATGGCTTTGACAATCCAAACTCTTACCACGGCCAATACTTCCACTCAACGCATTCCACTACCTTCAACAACCCCGCCAAATACCGCTCGCGTTTCCGGAACGATATCTTCCACGAGCCTGGCTCGGAGGGTTGGGGAGACGAAATCCCGCATTACTATGTCGTACAGGACATGATGAAGCTCGACCCGGGGCAAGTTATCTGGCTACGGGAGCATTGCCCGCTGAAGGAGCAGGTTGAGGCATTCGTGCTCTCGCTTGGGGACTGGTTCCGTGACAATGGGGAGACGTTTGGCGAGACCCTGGAATGGGTGATCAAGGAGAGAGGTGAGGATATGGAGGAATTCCGAACTGCAATTACGGAGAGGGAATTGGGGATTGCGTGGGACTAATTCGCATTAGAGGTACCCTTCTGTAGTGATTTATGCTTCCCGTTGAGTAAATGCTCAAGAAGAACCTGGCGGACAAAACTCGATACCCAAAGACATATTACCTCCCTTTACCAGATCTCAATCAACCGAGAGGGCCGGAGCAAGCAACCGAAACTATCCAAGAAAACGCATCCAAGCATCCAGAAAGTAGGGTATCTATTATAATTATTACAAGCCCTCTAAATTGCCAATTGTCCCATCTATAGTACATGATCAAAGATCTAAGGTATTCGTATTATACATTTGTCGTCTTTCGTTTTCTCTATCGCCTCGCAGCAACAGACATCATCGTCCGCTCAGCAACTTGAGCACCAGCTCATACGTTCCCAGCGTGATAGCGGCGGAGGGGACCGTTCGGATCATATGCGCGGTCAGACCACCGTACAGAGCGGCGAAACCTTCCTCCTTGACCATTAGTCGGAGGCATTGCGCGACGCCCGTGTATTTCTGGCGGCCGTCGGCCATGGGGGCTTGTCGGAGGCGGGTTCGGAGGACCTGCAAGACGAAGATAATTAGCGAACTGTTTCGATCGAAGAAACGGAGAAATAAGAAGTGTTAACTTACCTCATGAGGATAAGCAATCAGCACTGCAATAAGCTTCGAAACAGCCGCCGAACCACTCAGAATCAAGCCCTGCGTAACCTCACTAGACTGCGCCTTACCCTGGCGCTCATAATGCCGCGCAACAGCGACCTTTATCCGTTCGTACGAAGCCAAGTGTAACGTCGTCTCAATAACCCCCAGATAGCTCGCCGCTAGTCCCCGATAAAGACCCTTAACTCCCTCCTGCCGAATAACCTGTTTCACGCAGTCGTAGCTATTCCGGTACTGCGGCGGCCTCGTCGTCCCATCACTATTCACATGGTGCCGATCAAGCTGGAGTCTCGTCTTTACCAACCAAATCGGATTTGTCGCTGTCCCCGTCACGACGCCCGCGGTGGCGGCGGAGAGCGCATGTGTCGACGTCGCATCCTTATCCAGCCCAAAAACCTCGGGATATAAGCGCTTGCAGTTGCCGTATGCGTAGAACTTGATTGCTGTCGCCGGGACAACACCTGTGAGACTGGGGCCGAGGCCGCGGAAGAGGCTGCGCCAGCCTTCGACGCGGTGGATGGAGAAGAGGATTTCAAATGTTTCGCTGAAGTGCTGGATTGTTGAGCGGATGAATGAGGGGCGGGCGTGTGCTGAGATATGTGTGGATTTGAGGTGGGAGCGGTAGTAGTCGGATTGAAGGCGTGTTCGGAGGACGTCAAGGGGCGATGTGAGGAGGGCAGTTGCCATGCCGCCAGCGCTGGAATGCAGTCAGTATCTGACAGGGACGGACGGCAAGTTTGTCGGAGTACTCACGCGCCAGCTACCAGATGTGTCCATGAGCTATTTGTCTGTTGTACTTGTGGAGGAGTGAGCGGTCCCTCCGGTACAGCAGCGTTGAGAGCTGCGTCTTTGGAGTCGTTGCGCACGGCCTGCATGTTGAAGAGTGCCTCGAGGCTGCGGGCTACTAGGAGCAGAAAGGATAAGGCAAAGTACAGCAAATCGAGAAATTGTTAATCCATGAAATAGAAATGGAGGACTCTGGAAGGCAAAACGGTCCAGAATTTTTAGAATGGGTTATGTAATCGCTGCGGAGATAAGATGAGCTCCGGAAGCTGTCATTGGGCTTTAGCTCCGTATATCATGACGCATCACCCTACGCACCGCGCACCGTGCGATTCCAGACTGACATGATAAAGAGGACTGTCGAATTCAAAGTACCATGTAGACATCCTCGTCGCATTATCAAGTCCAACCTCCGGCGGCCTGTCATCATAAACAAAACTCGTACTCTACCTAGTACGGGACGTTTCTGGGCCCTCGACCAGGCATAAACTCAATAGTCCTCAGGTTTAACATGATTCGCACAATAACTACTGAAAAAACTGTATACAGACCGCATAGCCACTTCACAGGACGCCAGAATAGAGTAGTATAAACTCAACCAGAGACTGGAGAAATCAAAGGGAAATGTCGCGGGATGGACGGGAGCTAGAATGACAACCAATCCGAGACGAAGGAGTTGAAACATACGGATGGCGTAAAAATATCATTTTCATCAAGTTGGGGGTGGAAGGAATAAAATAAAGGCTGGGTAAGACGAAAGCAAGGTAGAACTGACAGAATAATCGTGTGTCCGGGATGGTGTCAGGCCCAATAAACATCGCCATACAATGTCCATATCGTCGTATGCCGTTGCCAACAATGTCCCTCTTATGTATCATTCCGCAGAGGCCAAATAAACAGGCAAAAAGAAACGTCAAGAGCAGTCAATATCTCATCACAAAATCAAGACTCGTTGGGGGCGGTTGGCATGTCGCGGGTAGAGCCAGAGTACCGTCGTGGTCGTTTAACAACATCCTCCCTTGTTTTCGGTATCTTGAGTCTTTTCGATATCGATTATTTGACGACGCTCCCCGACAGAGGCTCCGCCAGATTCGCCTTCAAGCGCTTTGCTGGATACGATGCGGTAGATTTCTGTAGGAAGAGCAACTGTTAGAAAATGTCCCCAAAGCGTCTATAGTTGAAGCCATACCTGTGAGGATGTTCTGGAAAGCGAGCTCGACGTTGCTAGCGTCCAGGGCGGAAGTCTCGATAAAAGAAAGGTTGTTCTCGCCTATTGCCGGTGAGTTTCACGAACAGGTCATTTCACAGAGACCACGAAACTCACTGGCAAATTGCTTGGCCTCCTCTGTGGGGACAGCCCGGAGATGCCTCAAATCGCTCTTGTTACCGACAAGCATAATGACAATGTTGGAGTCGGCATGGTCTCGGAGCTCCTTTAACCATCGGTTGACATTGTCGTAGGTCTGATGCTTGCTGATATCGTACACGAGAAGCGCACCGACAGCTCCTCGGTAGTAGGCTGATGTAATAGCGCGGTAACGCTCCTGACCAGCAGTATCCCAGATCTGAGCCTTGATTGTCTTGGAGTCCACCTGGATAGAACGAGTAGCGAACTCGACACCGATAGTCGACTTGGAATCTAGTGAGAACTCGTTCCTAGTAAAGCGCGAGAGCAGATTTGACTTTCCGACTATTTACATCGTCAGATGGGGGTCCTTTCTTGGTGTGGGAGACGCGTACCGCCAGAGTCTCCGATAAGGACGACTTTAAAGAGGAACTACCAGGTGCGCCAGTTAGCAGTGTTCTCGGGCTCACATTCCAAGGACTCACATCATATTCGTCGTTGGCCATGATTAGCAGTAAGATGAGCCTACAAGCTCCGCTGTGAGCGAGATGTGAGGTCGGGGGTAGCGAGATTCGACGTGGCGGGTTCCGTAGACAGCTGAGGAGCGGGAACCGACAACAGCGGGAAACTGAGTTCTGGGAGGGGCACACAGAAGTTAGTCGACGGTCCGGGCCACGATGGACGAGGTACAAGGAATAGAATCGTGCAGCAAGCAGTGTCAGGGAACACTTACAGAGCTTGTTGGTAAGTGAAGCGGAAGGTCGAAGATAGGAGAGGCTCTCCAGAAGTCCTTCCCGTGCTTGCCCTCAAGACGAAGTGGGCCATGCCCGCCCCCCTTTGGGGCTAGCGAGTGGGTCACGTGCCGCCGTTTCGTCTTTGTTTCTTTGGATCAAAAGTTGCCAATTATTCGAAACAACGAAAGAATCAACAGGCGCACTTCTTTCAAGAATCTTTCCCACGGCCAGCAATAGGGGACTCGATCTGGTTCAATGGGACATGTCCAGCTTTGCTTGTGGCGTTGCTGGTAGACCTCCTCTCCTCCGCTATTTGGAGCGAGCAGCCTGATGTACTACCAAGCTAGTGCTCCACCTTCTCCAGGTCACTTTGTTCTTTGATACACTCCGAGACCTGGTCATTGACATCTCTCGACCTCATTTGTTTGTTGTACTGGCCGTGTAAGATTGTTTGAATATGGCAATGGACAACCCCAGCGATGATGATATATCTCTGACCTCCACGGTTGAGAGTGACCAAGCTTCTGAGTACTATGTCGACACTATTCTGGCCGAGTGCGAATTTGCCGAGGATGATATGAGATATCTTGTCCGGTGGGAGGGCTACAATGTTCTCAGAAGCACTTGGGAACCCAAGGAGAGCTTTAACAACGTCCGCGAGACACTGCTGGAATGGGAGGACAAGAAACAGCGAATTTCCGAGGGCAAGGAGCAACCGTTTGATGTAACTGCTTGGGAGGCGACTTGTCGTCGATCAGACCAGGAAAAGGAAGAAAGGAAACGCAGAAGATCAGCTAAGAGACGGAAAATAGCTGCATCAGAGGAAAGGCGCAATCCGACGCTGGTCAAAAACACTGCGACTGTCGGAAAAGCAGCTTCACAAAGATCGCCAAATGCTTCGACCCGTCGCCGGCCTCCTGGTCCGTCTAGATCCCTGTACTCTGAACAAGGCCATCCAGCAAGACAACTAGCGGGACTGTCAGTGTCCAGAGTGCCGCCAGTGGCGCGATTTGGAACCAGCCAACCTGCCTCCAAATCAGTGCGACCCAAAAAGGGCTTCAGCACTGACGAGGGGGAGCAATTTGCTACTCCCTGGAGGAAGTTCAGGGTGAACACGTACTCGAAGAACAAGGAATTGCAACCAAACGTTGATCAAGTCGATATAAGGCCACCATCTGACTGGGATTCTATGCCGAACGTGAAAGCAATTCAGCCTGGCAGCTCTCGTCAGATAACTGATATGAACCGTGGCGGCCCGACAGAAAATGGACCACGGCCTTCTTTAGCCTCTTCAGGATTATCTCACACTCAGCCTCAATCTCCACTTGCGTCACCTAGGCCAGACAGTGATTTGTGGTATGCTTCAAGCTCTCGGAATGCCGAGCGCCTTCGCAGTGACATCGCTGGCACAGGTGGGCCAGTATCATCAAAGCCTGAATTGAATTTGAAGATTCCTCCAAGGGAGCCATCTGGCTATAGGCCAGCGGCAGGCAAGTTCGACCTAGAGTTTCGCGATAGGAAACCTGCAGGTGGCTACAGGACGGCGTACATTCCACATACGAACTCTCAGCGCTGGTGGAACAAAGGCGAAGTATATGTTAATCTATATATTGGTCAAGACAAGCGGGAGTTTGCCGACGCCAGGTTATGTGGTCTTCCTTACGTCGAGGCCGTAAAACCAATTCTCAGAACAAAACAACCGTATCCACCAGGAAAGATCGAGGTGTGGTTTCGGGACCAGTATACTTGGGATCAATACGAAAAAATTCGTGCTGAGGTATGTCCTAACATGAAGGACCTTCCCCTGTTCCTCCCTGTATTACTGGCCAGGTTCATTAACACAATGCTTGCTTGCTGTCTTAGATATCAAACAAGCCGTTTGCAAACGGCTGGATTGAGGGGTTCGATGACACAGAGTCCCTTATTCGGCCAGTCGCTGAACAGCTTTGGAAAGAAAATAAAATAGCAATAGCTCAGATCAACCCCAACCAGGTTCTGCTTGCCTATCCACCTGGCTCTGTCCACTTCAGTTTTCCCGGTGAAACAGTCCCGCCTAGGGGTTATCTGTTTCTCGCCCTCAGAAACATCTTTGGGCCAATTCACAATCTGAGATTAAATGAGCGAATCAGTTACCCTCCCCTGACTGAAGTGAATAACGCTCTCAAAAACGGCCACGCTGAGCTAACAATGGCGACTGTATCAAGTGGTCAAAAAGCATCACGCAACTTCAATGTCGCGCAAGGAAGCATAGGGCAACCATCCACAGCTTCACCTAAATTAACCACCCCGGATACATCTACCTATGCTCAATCTCCGACCCTGAACTCGCCGATAGCCCAGTTTCCAAACAATATATCAACCACGCGAGAAATCCATGCGTCTACCAAGCGTACGCATCTTGACATTCGCCCCACCAAGGCTCTACCACAAGGTCGCACCGGGTCTGAATTCACTGAGACTAAGGCGGAACTAAGCAAGGAGGAACTTGACAAGCTTTTCCTCACGAGGTTTGGTATTACTTTTGAAAAATTAACATTTTCAAATGGCACCGACAAAAGGAATCAAACAAAGGTGTTTTACATTTGGTACCCTGATGATTCACAGGCTGTCAAAGATGAAGAAAAACAATTGACAAATTTCCTGGGTAAGCACAAACAACTCTGGTTCACAAATAGCACAAATCGCCTTGATAAGGGTTGGGAAAAATTTATGAACTTGGTTACTGGGAACACCATGCATGGTGTTGTTCTTGTATGTTCTCCAATGTTTACCTGCTGGCCTGCTAACACTTCCGCAGTTTCATCAGTCAATTGTCCAATATAACAAACTTCCACAACTTGTGAGGGCCATCCGCAGAACAACCAACTTCTGGAAGGTTTCGCTTGCAAAGCCTATTCAATACCTTGATCCGCCACTGCATGTTCAGCGGTTATTTCCGCATGGCGGCGTGTATCTGTTGACTGAAGACTTTATGGTCCACGAACAGGTTGCTGCCATGATTATTCTGCAGTGGTTCCACGAGTACTCGCGGAAGAAGAACCCAGGAACTTATAAATTAATGCTCCGCCCTGATATCATGAATTGGCTGCTGAATAATATGGAGGTTGGTGATGATTCACAGAGATGCCGGTAAGCACCTTTTTGTACATGTGAACAATACTATTAGCGCTGATCATGGACACCAGATGGTTTACGATGTACCATCTAGTTAAGCAGATCGGATTCAACCCCAACGACGATATTATTCCTGGCCTAGAAGAAGACTTCATAATTTCTCCACCCACACTCCCAAAGTACGGTTTTCGAACGGCCGATGACTCCCCGGACATTCCCAAAAACTGCACCCAGGAACAACGGAATACCGATCATTTAGGCGAGTTCTTCGCTGGCTACGCTCTACTGAACGCCCACCGCTTTCGCCGGTTCTACATGATTACATCCCTAGAGCATCTTGAAAGATGGAAGAAATGGCATCATATCGAGATCGGCGGCTATCAAGATTTTCTGCAGTTCCAATCGGTTAAGCCAGAGCTTATTCACGAGAGGCTCTTCAAGGGCACATCAGCGGCTTTTGCCTCGGCAGATGCCACACCCGTATCTCCTGCTGCGCCGCGGCCTTCCAAACCGTCTGGCGGGTTGGTTCACGAACAAAGATCTGTCTCGGTTGGAAACCAACTCCCGACCAGGTATGGTCAGCCGTACCACTAACAGCTGAGATATGAAGTTGAGGGTGCACGAGCTTTGACAGAAGGCTCCATTTCCGGTACTAAGCGCGAGAATCTCAGCGAGTAAGGATGGAGACAGATTTCATGTGGGCAGGCCGCGGCAAGATCGCTGTGTCAGTGAAAGGGTTACTTTAGCCAGAAAGTGCGAGTTCCCAGCTCCCGTGCGGTCTTCCAACGGTGGAAACCCAGATTACATGGATGAGAGCGAGTCAAGTGATACTGAACTTTCGCCTGAAATATCTTCACGAGATGGAGCAGAATCTTCTGCATGCAATGGGGATCATTATCTTGTTTCTTGTATTTCTTAAGCTCAACTGGACAATATTTTATGATTTTGCAGATGGTGACATATCTCTTTGATCATTTTCTGCGACCCCTATCCTGGACCCATATACAGACAGCGCGCGGTTATAGGCCTTTAAAGCAAGCTTCGGGCATATTCCTATTCAGCCTCTCTGGACCGGTCCCGCTGCCAAGTCGTTTTACATGACCGTCATCTCATCAGGAAACCCGAGTACCTAGCGGTTGGATGTAGGTTAAAGTGACAAAAAGGACGTGGCATTTGCACCTGATATCTGCAACGGGCTGAAATGTCTGGGTTGTGGTCTTTCAAGGTCATCGTTTCGGTTGTCCTGCCTTGCTCCTCAAATCAGACCCTTCCAAGGTTGCTTTTATTTGCGGCACGGAGTGATGCAATCTAGCAGTCGGTCACCCCCTTACCTACCACACCGCCACTGGCTGTCCCGCGCATGTTGACTCATGCACTGCAACCTTAGGAATAATATATACCTTTAAGGGGGGTTATATAATAGAGTTTGGCATGTATCCATGGTAGATTCAGAGCCTCAATTGATACCATACCTATTAAAGTTTGTATCCCGAGCGTTGCCTGGGTGTAAAATCCGTTGTTTGGATTCGTCGTTCCCCTAACCAATTCCATAAATATCCACTTCAAGCCAAGAGTTACATCACGTGGCGCTGCACTAGCCTTCTTTTGGTTAACCTAATGCCTGATAATTAAGGCCTTAACACACGCACTTGCTCCACATGTTTTTCTTTGATCCACAATAATAACCACTTGGTCCACTGGTAAGCGGGCCTCCAAGGTATATTTTGATATTCCATTCTCTGCAGTCTGCATATATCTATCTTTTCATATTGACGAAAGCATATCCTAATTATCACAGGATACAGCACTGACTTTCTCTGTGTTTTTCTTCTTCCCCACCCACCATCACAATGCGTGAAGTTCCCAAGCGCCCAACCGTGAATAGCATTCGAGAATGGCTTGGAGCTTCAATAACACTTCATGCTACTGAGTGGGAACAGACTAGGGACCTTTTGGCAAATATTATCTACGACGGTGACTTTATTGGACAAAACTTCAAGAAAGAGTCTGTTGTAGGAAGCTTAAAGGCGGCCATATATGGTCGACTCGATGAGTTTCCAAGTCCACTAAGGAATGTTTATCGAGCAGCGACCGATGATGACAAGGATAAGCTTAACGAGGCTCTCTACCAGCTCGCTATCCTGGGTAAGAGAACGTCCAAGAGAACGGAAGACAAAAAACTCGCAAGAAACAGCCAACTGCCGCAGAAAGCCCTCAGACATCGCGGTGGACTATCTACTCGCGTGGTTTCTGTCGAAAATCGTGTCGATGGCGCCTATCACGGAGCTATATCTCTGCGTGATCTGGGAAGAGGCGAGGTCAGCACGGCAGTCAAACCGCAGGACTTTGACCATGGCAAGTTTACTGAGTGGATTAAGGATCAATGCCACTATGACAGCGCACGCCACCGACTCTTCTATATCAGCGCGCATGGTGATGTGATTGAGCCCCGGTCATTACAGGGCTGGATTACGGGCCTGGACAGGGAGGCGCCGCTTTTCATTATAGACTGGAAAGCTGGTAGGCCATGTTTTCTCCAACAAGACAGTTCATGTGATATACTAACAGAAGGATGTTGCCGATGTAGACCACATCGCCTCGGACGCCACTCCCACAACCACGTATCCTACTTATTCGTCGACCAGGCCTAGTGCTAGCGGCAAGCGCGGCTACTCCGAAGTGTGCCCTGGAACTACCTCGAGACGTAAGAGGGGACAAATGGAAGCCATATCCGGACCCAGCGATTTGCATGACAGGGATGAGCGGTCCTGGGTAGACGTTGATCACGAGTCAATTGATGCGTCTGACCTCAGCAACTATGATACCCATGCCTTCGGCTGGAACAGCGAGGCTGCTCAAAGCAACAATTCGAGTCCGCGCGGTGAACCTAGCTTGATAGATAAGCCCAGCTTAATGAATGAGTAGGTTGGCCCTGATAAGGGTTCACACATCGACCGAAACGATTGGCGGAGCTTGGCTAATGAGCCCAGTCCGAACCAAGCATCTGTTTTAACAAATCAGCTGGGCATAAAGAGGCCAAGCTTGAATGAGTGTCCCGAGCCCGGCTCGGATGGCGAGTCTTGTTCGATTAGCGAGTCTAGCTTGAACAACAGTGTCTGTTCGGAATATAGGTCCTATACTACCCGGCACACGAAGCGGCCGAGGCTTTTCTGAACTGTGGGTGTGATGATAAAGACGAGCATTACTGCCATAATGGAGAGGACATACCAGGCATGTCATTGCGTGTCGGCTCATTCTCCCTTCGTTCATGCATACCTTCTGTGGATTGGAGGTTGCTCTTCTCAAGCGAGTCAAGCGAGTAAACCGGGAAACATCAACACATGTATCTCGCATGGCCTCTCTGCCATTCCCTCTGCTCTTTAGTGCTTCAAGGCTACGGTGAGTGACGGCTACATTATCTGCAGTCCTCCTCGCTATATCAGGTCATCTATGTTTGCAAAGAACAGACCATTTGACACGGGTTATATATCTGGACTCATGCCAATGAGTAGGCAACGTTTATTCAAGGGGATGAGCGTTTGATGGATGGCTGGCACCGCGTATATGACTGAAAATATCCGGCCCTGTATTTGTGTATTGATTTCTTAAACGGTATGTGGCTGAATTATGCTGCACAGATAATGACCCCGAAGGAGGTTCACCCACCAAGGCGAAAGGGTGTGTTTCAAATAGAGAAGCCGTGGTTTAAAAGGTAATCAAGGTCTCTGTATGCATCAGGTACTTGCTATACGGTACATGTGCAAGTATTGACCTATGAGCAATGGAGGGTTTCTAGCAGATAGTGATGGTCTTGGACAAGGTAGGTATATCCCAAGCATGTACTTATCCAACGACCGCGGAATGAAGTCAACCGCATAATGAATCATTATTTGGGATATCACTGGCATTCAAGCAAGTCCACGAAAAATACCACAGAACAATAGAATAAAAAAGCCAATCCGTGCTTCATAAGTGCTTATCAACTGATCATACAAATACCAATAAGGCAATGCTAAACATCATCACGCGCCAACGCTAAGCCAATATGTATGTTATAACCCATAGAAATCATTGATAGGCAGACAAAAGGTCCTAATCCAGGACATGGCCAAAGCAGGAAAGGTATGAGGGAAGCAACAAAATGACGCAGAACCAGAGAGCAGAAATATTAGGTACAGGAGTAAGATCACGACCCAGACGCTTTACTCCGATACTCTCTAAAAGAAGAGATGGACGGACCTTCCCCGAACCTAGTAGCCTGAGACTTCGCCCTCTTATCTTTTAGCTTCTTCTGCCGCATCCTCTCTCCCCACTGATCTTCCTCCGCAGCAATCATAGAGTGGAAGCGCCCTCCCTGGCCACGGCCAAGATACACTGGCTTTTCGTTACGCTCAGCTACGCTTTCCGTGACGAGGACGAATTTCACGCTTGAACCCGGTGTCTCGAACATTGCGTCGCTGAGAATAGTTTCCATTTCCGTGCGGAGAGCGCGGGCCCCTGTGCCCATTGTAAAGGCATTAGCGGCAATTTTGTGCAAAGCGGGCGTTGTGAAGCGAAGTTCAATTCCGGATAGAGAGAAGAGCGTGGTGTATTGGGCGACTAGAGAATTGCGGGGTTCGGTGAGGATGCGGACGAGTAAGGGCTGAGTTAGGGCTGATAGGGCGGCATTGACCGGAATGCGGCCTACGAGCTCCGGAATGAAGCCGTAATTTTGGAGGTCGGTTTGGTTGATGAGGTCTAGAGGGTTAAAATAGGTAGGTTCGGCATCAGGTGATGACACTGACGGAGGCGTAAAAAACGGAAGATGTTTCCTGTAGAGGGCTTCTTCTTCCGAGCCCGGAAGGATTGGGATGGGTTGACTAGCTGCAGGGTCGGAAGAATGCGGTCGGTCTGTGTGAGTCTGGGGTGGAGTCCGAACTGGTTGGCCGAAGCCCATTGATCCACGCGATATTCGGTCCATCACGACCTTGTGCAATCCGACGAATGCGCCGGAGCATATGAATAAGATGTTATGGGTGCGGACATTGATGACCTCGCCCTTTTGAGGCATGTTGCCGCCACTTGGGGGAGTGAATGGAGGGTTTCCTATAGGATTATTTGAAGGATAAGGCGTAGAAGAACTGGGCGTTCCGTTCATACGTGGTGCATTTCGTTCCTGTTTCACATGGACTTGCACCGTCGTTCCCTCCTGGCAATGTCATCAGTCCCGCGACATTTTTGAAAAAACAGTGGCTTCACATACGATTATGGTCAATAGGGCTTGTTGGACTCCTTCGCCGGAAACATCGCGATTTCCTCCATGTCCCCCTGTGGTGGTCGTCTTGGCGATCTTGTCTATCTCATCCAAAACAATTATTCCACGCTCCGCTTGTTCGACGTCGTAGTTGGCAGCCGCTAATAGTCTGTGTACGCATACTTCTGCATCTTCTCCAATATAACCAGCCTGTGTAAAGGGGGTGCAGTCTGAGATGCTGAATGGGACCGATAATACTTTAGCTAGTGACTTCGACATGAGTGTTTTGCCCACTGCATGACGTGCGCATTAGTATGCTATGCTACAGAGCATGAATCTGGTAGGAGAAGCTATAGCATGGTACGTACCTCCGGAAGGCCCCAATAGAAGAACATTGGATTTCTCAATTTGTAGTTGGTTCGATTCGTCAAGTTCTGCCTTGTCCGTGGCGATAGGTGGCTGTGTAGGTAAAGGGTCCAGGTATGTCGTGCGTGGTTGACCTGGGTACTCGTCTATAGTGTGCATTAGCGATTGATGGTCAAAAACGGATGCTGACCACGGCCTAAACCAAAAGGAGCTTACCCTCCACCGGATGGCGCTCAACGGGCTTCCTGCTCGCATGCTCGGCTAGAAGATCCTCATGTTCCTCCTGGCGTCTCTCGATGTCCTCTCTGCGCAGCCGCTTGGCGAGCAATTCCTCGGCTTCTTCTTGGCGCCTCTGGAGCTCTTGAACCCGTTGATAATGATTGTATACTGCGACACTGAGGATCTTCTTTGCACGGTCCTGTCCAACAACAAATTGGTCCAGATATTGTTTCAATGATTTCGGCGTAATGCGCGGAGCTCCGAAGCTGATACGTATCAGTGAGAGTCAGTCATGGTCTTTCTTGGTATGACGGATTGATATACGCTGGTGTGGTTCCCAGAGGGCCGGCCGTTGGAAGCCCGGGTTCGTATACGCCGGAGAAGGGTTGATTTGTGAAATCGGTTCTGTCGAACTGCGAAGAGGTAGGGAATGACACAGATGAGCTCGAGAACCCGCGTCGCGTGCGCAAAGGACGAAGGGCGAGGGGACGCCGATAGCGGAGAGCGCAGTAGTGGTGCAATGGGGAAGGCCGACATGGCCATGGCAGCCGCAGCATGAGGGGCGCTGCGGTTGCAACAGAAGATGGATTTCGAAGCAAGTGGTATCAATCTCAGAAGGAAGAAGCTATCATGTAAATAAGTGATGAGATAATGGAGAAGACGTCGGAGTTTTTTGGGGGAGCTGCGGGCTGGTGAGGAGACGGGAGGTCGGGTTGTCAGATAAGATGCCCCATCCGTCTAATCAGCCCCGTCATTCCCCGCTTTTTAGGGCGATCAACCTACGCCATACAAATCATACCACGCGGCTACAAGGGCTATATTGCATCGGAACCTTTCCTCTCCATCTATCGTCTGGCTGATCGAATGTTCCTTTATTTTGAATCTGGGTCTCTACAATTTTGGAGAATCTCACAGATTTTCAACAACAGTTCGTACCGAGGGGCAATGCCGGCCGGACATGACCGCTGTTGAGGCTCGCTGATTGAGCTCAAAACCAGAAAAGCCTCAAACCATAGAAGCCAACGCCGTCCTCTTTTCGTACTTGCGTCTTCGTTTCTTTGACTTACAAGTGGCCTCGTATGTCGGCGAGGTACTCTCTGGTGCCTGCGGTCTCATTGCGCGCGAGGTATCACCGCGCCCCGAGAACATATTTCACCTCACAAAAGTCGGGTTGTCAAGATGACTGCCTGGAAGCAACACTTCGTGATGCAATGACCTTCAACAAATGTGAATCAGGTTTTCATAAACCGTGATCGCCTCGCTATGTTCACTTATTTGACTTGAAGGCAGGTTGGTGTTCCATCGTCTGGGAGATAAAACCCCGCAAAGCAGCCCATCGGTTTGATACTGATTCCGCAGCCGCTGGCTCTGAGTTCGGCGTGGCCGTTATAGGAATGTTCGACATCTGCGCCATGTTTTTCGCAAACCGATCACGCTCCGATTTTTCAAGTTTCTCCTTGCGCTTCTGAGCACCCGGTCTATGTTTCAGAGTCTTCTGCTTGATGATGTTTACCTGACCGGGTCCATTGCTCTCCGTCTCAGCTTCAGGCAAAGCATCGGCTAGCGATTCGAGGTTGGCGACAAGTTTCTTGGAGGCTCGGCGGCGCTTGTTGGACTTTCCAGAGCTCTTTTCAATCTTGGATACAAAGCTCGAATGTTTGATCAGGCGCTTGTCTTTCTTCGTCGTCCGAAAATCGTCGTCAAACAGTGAGGGTTTGGAAACTCCGCTTCCTGTGGCGGGTTTCGTGCCGTGCGGCTGTTTTTTTACCGACCGGATGGGAGCCTGTGCAGAGTTAGCAAGATGCCATCTGGCTTGGTGCAATTGCCCAATTCAACTTGACCTACCATTTTGACTGGAGTGGCTTTCTCCTTGAAAGAAAATCTGGTGATGGGAGACCCGATGAGGATTAGTTCCGCTTTCCCATTCCCACCGCCCACCTGACGGTCCCCCGCAGCTGCGCACGTGAGCACTCTTTTACGTTGCAACTGGCTGGTCGTGCCGTATCATGTCTCGTTCAGAATGGTCAGCATAATAGGCAATTAGGCACTTATATTATACGAACTTCGGCATGCCTAATTGCCTATGATTGCTTTATCGTGGTCAATTAACAAGGCCCAGACCGACTAATCGAACTTGGCGTTCATTCATGCAAGCTCAACATCTGATCGCCCATCGTGTCTTGTCCTGTTCACTGTTTCTGGACTAGTTCCCACCCTGTTGGGGCAAGATCCACCTTCAATAAATACTACGGAGCAGCGCCGAATTATCCAGAATCCCAGAGTCGTGTACGAAACCACGTTACTGTACTCCGTACGTTTTTCGTCATTGTTACTAAATGCTTTAAGGGTCTCGTGAATGCAACTACTACTGTGGCGTCAATCTCGGCTCTTCAGCTCTCGTGCAAACCCAGTCCTACCTCGGTTCCGGCCCTCTCAACAATTCCGCTCCGTTCAAATCGCTTGCAACTCCCTGTCGGGATCAACGTCATCCAGACCATCGGGTCCTATCTCCTGCAGACATCTTTCGAAAACAACTTCTTCATTGTCTGCAGTAACCGCTGCGACCACAAGCAACATGGGATCTCTCGGGCCGTATAAGCAGAAGCACAAGGTGACCGTGGTGGGATCTGGTAATTGGTATGTACAGCCCGAGCGGCTTACACTTCTGCTGTATACTGATAGCGAGAAAGGGGCACCGCCATCGCCAAAATCGTCGCCGAGAATACTGCAAGCAACCCCGCCATCTTCGAGAAGGATGTTCAAATGTGGGTGTTTGAGGAGAAGGTCGAAATTCCGAAGGATTCCAAACACTATGATTCTGCTTCCCCTCTCTGCCAGGGGCCGCAGAACTTGACGGACATCATCAATCAAACTCACGAGAATATCAAGTACCTTCCAGAAATTGCCCTCCCGGAGAACCTGATTGCCAATCCGTCGCTAGTGGATGCTGTTCAGGACAGCACTATTCTTGTCTTCAACCTGCCTCATCAATTCATTATCAACATCTGTGAGCAAATTAAGGGCAAGATTGTTCCGTACGCGCGTGGAGTTTCTTGCATCAAGGGTGTGGATGTAAATGAGGAAGGTGTTCACCTGTTTTCCGAAACCATTGGCAAAATTCTTGGGATCTACTGCGGCGCTCTGTCAGGGGCCAACATTGCCAACGAAGTCGCACAGGAGAAGTGGTCCGAGTCTAGCATTGGCTATGATCCCCCGCACTTTGACTCGAAAGCCCCGTCGCCTAATCGATCACCCTCCGCATCTACCGATAACATCCTACACTTCGAGCACAAGGATGTTTCGGGGCAACTTTCGCGGGTGAAGCTACAGGCTCTGCCCTCTGAGTTCCCTCCTATTGACCATACCCTACTTAAGTCTCTCTTCCACCGTCCTTATTTCCACATCGGCGTGGTAAGCGATGTGGCTGGTGTCTCGTTGGGAGGCGCTCTCAAGAATGTCGTCGCTGTCGCGGCAGGCTGGATTGTCGGCAAAGGATGGGGAGACAATGCCAAGTCTGCGATCATGCGAGTTGGTCTCTTGGAAATGGTAAAATTTGGTGAACAGTTCTTCGGAGCGACCATTAACACCCGGACGTTCACTGAAGAAAGTGCCGGTGTTGCCGATTTGATTACCAGCTGTAGTGGCGGGCGAAACTTCCGCTGCGCAAAGCTCAGCATTGAGAGAAACCAACCAATTGAGAAGATCGAGGAAACGGAGCTCAACGGCCAAAAGCTGCAAGGCACGCTGACTGCGATCGAAGTCAACAGCTTCTTAAAAAAGCAAGGTTTGGAAGACGAGTTCCCACTGTTTACTGCAGTCTACCGTAAGCATTGCGCCTATACGCTCTTTTGCCATTCAGTATGCTTACCATTTTGCAGGGGTCCTCCAAGGCACCATGTCCGTTGACGAGATCCCATCTTTCATTGAGCGGTAATTAGGACCTAATATGACCACCCTTTGGATTTCCTCGTTTATTAATTCTTTAATTTGTTTATTCCCCTGACAGCAAGCCATCTCCAATTGAATTTTCTGAGCCAAATGGAAAGACGAGCAATGGTATGAATGAACGGGGTATGAGCGCCAGGCTGTGAACGAACGGTTTCTTCTTGTTCTGTAGGGACGGATTCCCCGTACCATGGGACTGCTTTCAAGGATGCACATATAGATTTGGACTATGATAGACGCATGATATACCTATATTCCACAGCGCCTGCTCGGTCCTCTGCACATCTAGTCAAAACTTGGCCGGGAAGTGTCAGTGCGGAGAGTCATCCTCCGCCCAGACAGGAGACCAAGGCCTAGCCCTCCCTGGCCTGACAGGATGATGTCACTCCGCGGGGTTGGTTAAACTCAGGTAACTCAAGCTGATCAGGAACAGGTTCTCCGACTCTGCATTGGCTCTCACATATATGACTCTTTCCCGCCTAATTTGCACCCAGTCTGCCAGGGATTGCGAGAAGTGCCAAAACTCGGCTCTCCTGCTCACACGCGTCTTCGCTACGGCACTCTCCAATTCTAACCGCGCAGCAGGGTCAATATTGAATCACGGTACAATTTGACGGAGCTTTGCATCTCAGAAATGCCTGGCGAAACCTTTTACCTGCTTCCCTTGAACGACGATGGCTCTCCGGATGTGCCTGGAGGTTATATTTATCTTCCGCCACCGGACGACCCGAAATACTCGCTCCGTTTCCTTATCGAAGGAAGCAGCTCAATATGCAAAGATGGAACGCTTTGGATAAACATACCTGAAAAGGGTCAGTCGTTTGACCGTCGGTCGTTCCGCGCTTTCAAGTGAGATAGTTCTTCCATTACGTGCGCAGCATTTGTTGAGACGGTTGTGTCAGGTTATCTCCAGACTTTAGCAAAAACATTCAAATCGACGTACCAGTCACTTACCCCGGGTCTTTTGCATACTACGTGACCTACTCGCCGCTCCCAGAGTTCACTGTCACATCCAGTGCCCCGTCAGAGCCGGCAAGGACGCCCACTCATTACATCGATGTCTCCCCCAGACTCAGTCTCGGCGGCCAAGGTATACCACTCAATGCGCTGTCGATATTTTCGGTGAACTCCAAATTCATGGGTAAGTACCCTGAAGACTGGGACAGGTACCTGAGCAGCATCTCCAGACGCAAGTACAATATGGTTCATTTTACGCCGTTGATGAAGCGAGGTGCATCGAATTCGCCGTACAGCATTTTCGATCAGCTCCAGTTCGACGACGTTGCATTCCCGAACGGAGAAAAAGACGTTCAGAGACTCGTCGAGGATATGGAGGGAAAACACTCCCTGCTGTCGCTTGCTGATGTCGTCTGGAACCACACTGCCAATAACAGCAAATGGCTTGAGGAACACCCAGAGGCCGGATATAGCGTTGAGACTGCTCCTTGGCTCGAAGCGGCATTGGAACTAGACACCGCACTACTGAAATTCGGTGAGGAACTACAATCTCGCGGTCTGCCAACTGATATAACGACCGTCGACGACCTGGCACTCGTCATGAATGAGGTTAAAACCCGCGTTATCGAAGACCTTCGCCTGTGGGAGTACTATGTCATCGACGTGAAGAGTAATGCTAAGACGATAATCAATCAGTGGCAAGTAACAAAGCAAGTCAACTCGAAAAGTGAAAAATGGGCGCTCGACCTAGAAAGCTACGAAAAGTGGTCTTTGAAAGATCAAACGAGCCTCATTCGCCAAAAAGGAATCCCAACTGTCAGCCAGATCCTCGGAAGATACGGTCGAAAAGTCGATACCCAACTCGGGGTGGCCCTTGTCACTGCACTATTTGGAAAGTTCGACTCAACATCGTCAGACCTCGCTTACGTGGAGAACGCCCTGCGCAAACTGCTCGACGTAGTCAATGTGCCACTCTACGAGGAGTACAACTCAGATCTTTCTGAAATCATGAACCAGCTTTCCAACCGTATCAAATATCTGAGGATGGACGATCATGGACCCAAACTTGGTCCTGTGACCAAAGAAAATCCTCTTATAGAGTCGTATTTCACAAGGCTACCTCTAAACGATGTCACTAAGAAACACAACCCGAAAGCATTAGCCCTCGCGAACAATGGCTGGATATGGAACGCAGATGCTATGCGCGACAACGCCGGGCCTGACTCTAGGGCATACCTGCGTCGAGAAGTTATTGTCTGGGGAGACTGTGTTAAACTACGATATGGAAGTGGACCTGACGATAGCCCTTTCTTATGGGACTTTATGACAAGATACACTCGCCTGATGGCCAAATACTTTTCCGGCTTCCGTATAGACAATTGTCACTCCACTCCTTTGGTGGTTGCGGAATACCTGATTGATGAGGCACGAAAGGTCCGCCCCGACCTTGCGATCTTTGCCGAACTATTCACGGGGTCTGAAGAGGCCGATTATATTTTCGTCAAGCGTCTCGGCATTAACGCACTCATTCGCGAGGCCATGCAAGCTTGGAGCACAGGAGAGCTAAGCCGCTTGGTGCACCGTCATGGTGGTCATCCCATCGGTAGCTTCGAACTAGATCTAGCTGCACCAGGCCTAGATTTTTCCAAGTCCCGCGCCAACGGCAGCGAAACAGAAGTCATACGTAGTATACGCCCAATCCCGGTTCCAGCATTGTTTATGGACTGCACGCATGACAACGAAATGCCAGCTCAAAAGAGAACTGCGACGGATACATTGCCGAACGCGGCTCTTGTAGCTATGTGTGACTCCGCCATTGGAAGCGTTATGGGCTATGATGAGATCTACCCAAGAATTGTGGATCTTGTGCACGAAACCCGACTATATTCATTCTCTGAGCTTCCAGAATCTCCGACCATTGATGAGCTGGCTGACCTTGAGGGCATCTGCGGCTTGAAACGTCTATTGAACGAACTCCATACCGTGATGGGCCAGGAGGGATATGCTGAAACCTTCATTCACCACGACGGTGAGTATATCACCGTTCATAGAGTCCATCCACAAACCCGGAAAGGCATATTCTTGATCGCACATACAGCTTTCCCGGGCCAGGATAGCGGGGCCATCCTTGCTCCTACCCACCTTGCAGCTACACAAGTCAAACCAATTGGGACATGGCGTCTTAAGGTTCAGGAGGGATCCAGTGATAAAGAGTGTGCTCTGTCGGACGAGACCTATCTTCAAGGATTGTCGAGCGAGGTCCTAAAATTTGAAGGAACTAAGGTTGAGGAAACAAGCGGCGACACCATAATTTCGGTCTTGGATTCGTTCGTCCCAGGTTCCATTGCTCTCTTTGAAACATCTATTCCGAGTCTCGAGCATGCAGCTGAATTAAGTAATGATGGCATGACTGAAGGCGCAGCTGAGGCTTTCTCGGAGCTGAATTTAATTGACCTGAACTTCGTGCTCTACCGTTGTGAGGCTGAAGAGCGTGACTCAAGCGGCGGTCAGGATGGCGTCTATAACATTCCGAACCACGGCCCACTAGTCTATGCTGGTCTTCAGGGATGGTGGAGCATTTTGGAGGGCATCATCAGATATAACGAACTGGGGCATCCGCTGTGTGATCATCTTCGGCAGGGTCAATGGGCTCTTGACTACATTGTCAACCGCTTAACAAAGGCCACGGAGAACCCCCAGTATGCCGCTTTGAAGCTTCCCGCTCAATGGTTGAAAGCAAAATTCCAGGCCGTGCGCGGCTTGCCGAGTTTTCTTCTACCTCGATACTTTGCTATCATTGTCCAAACTGCCTATGTCTCTGCCTGGAACAGGGGTATACAGCTCCTCGGGGACGATGTGCGGGTTGGCCAGGTGTTCATTCAACAACTCGCCATGGTGAGCGTGCAGCAGACTGGTTTTGTGAACTCCGCATCTCTGTGGCCTGAAAAACTAGTTCCGAGTCTCGCAGCTGGTCTGCCCCATTTTGCAACAGACTGGGCTAGATGCTGGGGTCGAGATGTCTTTATATCTCTAAGAGGCCTACTTCTGTGTACCGGCAGATTTATTGACGCCAAAGAGCATATCCTCGCTTTTGCCAGTGTGCTCAAGCACGGCATGATCCCGAACTTACTGGGCAGTGGTAAACTTCCGCGCTATAACTCACGCGATTCCATATGGTTCTTGCTGCAGGCCATTCAGGACTACACGAAGATGGCACCTGATGGTCTTGAGTTGTTGAACGACAAGACTCCCAGACGGTTTCTGCCGTATGATGACACGTGGTTTCCATTTGATGACCCTAAAGCATACTCGCAAAGTTTGACTATTGTGGATGTAATCCAAGAAGTGCTCCAGCGCCATGCGCAGGGAATCTCCTTCCGTGAGTATAATGCAGGTCCCGAGCTTGACGTGCAGATGAAGTCAGAGGGGTTTCAGATTGAGATCAGCGTGGACTGGGGAACAGGTTTGATCTTCGGCGGAAGCCAGCACAACTGTGGGACATGGCAGGACAAGATGGGAGAAAGCGATAAAGCTGGCAACAAGGGCGTGCCAGGGACTCCACGAGATGGTGCAGCGATCGAGATTACCGGACTCGTTTACAGCGCTCTAAAATGGGTTACGAGCCTTAACGAGCAAGGTCTCTACCCATACGACAAAGTTGACATTGGAAACGGAAAGTCTATCACCTTCAAAGAATGGGCTGCTAAGATCAAAGCGCACTTCGAGCGTTGCTACTACATACCGCTGGATCCGAACGAAGACGATCAATACGACGTTGATCCCAAGATCGTCAACCGCCGTGGTATCTACAAGGACCTCTATAAGTCCGGCAAGCCTTATGAGGACTACCAACTTCGCGCAAACTTCCCAATTGCGATGGTGGTGTCTCCTGAACTTTTCGAACCGTCAAAAGCGCTCGGCGCCCTGGCCCTTGCCGACTCTATGCTTGCTGGGCCTTTAGGCATGGCTACGCTTGATCCATCTGATCTCAACTACCGGCCAGACTATATTAACTCGGAAGACTCAACAGACTTTGCCACGTCCAAAGGCAGGAACTATCATCAAGGCCCGGAGTGGGTGTGGCTTCGAGGATACTTCCTCCGTGCGCTCTTGTACTTTGATCTTGCTCGGCGAAAGACTGCAGATGAGCGAACAGAAGCATTTCAGCAGGTAACCAGGCGACTAGCGGGCTGTAAAAAGGCGCTGAGAGAAAGTCCCTGGAAGGGTCTAACAGAGTTGACCAACAAGAATGGAAATCATTGTGCAGACTCGGTAGGTTTCAATCCCCTGATCTTTTCTTGTGTGGTCTTTGGGGGAACTGGGCTAACTCAACATCGTTAATAGTCACCCACTCAGTCATGGTCGGCCGGATGTTTGCTCGATCTGTATTACGACGCCTCACGATATAGTACTTAGACGTCTTAGCATTTTATCTCTGATAGATACATTGTACCTGTCACGGCCACAGCATATAGAAAGCATGTGGTAGATTAGCGCTGTTAACCTGGATCATGTTTCTAGAGGTTGATAATATAATCCGGATTTGTCTTTGCCAATCCAGCACCAAATCATAACTGCCTACAAGCAAGCGAGTAAGTCGAACATGAAGCAGACAGCATGAAGCTTGCATAAATTATTTATTATGTGTATAAGGCTTACCTGACTAAGCATCTCCTTCTGCGGCGATCAACCGTCAAGATGAACTGTCGCTGAATCGCTAGCCTCAAAAACCAGCACCATTGGCGATTTACCTGCGAGCATCGAGACGATCTGAACCACGATCATCATACCCCTCCTCAAGGAACTGGTATCAACAAGCGACAAAACATTACTGTGATATCGCAACGCTGCGTAACGCGCCATATCCTACCCCTGACGTCAGCTATCGTCGACCGATCGTCCGATTCAAAAACCAGCACGCGATTTCCCAATGCATCAATAAAGACGCCATCTGTCGCGATACTTCAGACACTAAGAGATCACCGGGTCGTAAACCATGTCATTCACGGAGTCTGCCGTGGCGGCAATGGTGACCGCCGTTACCATTCCTTATGGCGCAGACAATGGTACCGGCGATGATGAACCCGGACGGACATGGGATAGTCAGCTCCAGGTGGATCTGTATACGCAGCTTATCATCAGCTTGCCTCTGGGAATTACTGCATTCCTGGCTTTTTGCGTATGTGGATTCTTTCGATGAACGTCAACCTTGCGCCCACGCTAACATTACTTTCGCGTTGTAGTTTTTGCGGCCCAAATGGACAGAGTTATACGCGGCCCGGAGGCGCCAACGTCGCGCCGCCCTACACCTGCCGGAGCTTCCTGATAGCTTCTTCGGATGGATACCTGTGCTGTGGCGGATAACTGAGGAACAAATTTTATATTCTGCTGGGTTGGATGCCTTCGTTGTATGTGAATTCCGCGCTGTCAGTCTAGGACGTACTAACGGAGCCGGTGGACTAGTTCCTTTCGTTCTTCCGATTTGCAATTCGATTCACATTGACTGTATTCGTCTTAGCCTTCGTGATACTTTTACCAATTCACTACAGCTACACGAAGAAACTAGGTATTCCGGACTGGGATAAAGGCATTGATGTCGGCGAAGATGGGAAGAAAGAGTTCATCGATGACCCGCCGTATCTATGGTCGTACGTTGTGTTTACGTACATATTCAGCGGCCTTGCCATATTCATGTTGCTTCAAGAGACGAAGAAAATTATCCAAACCAGGCAGAAATACCTCGGCAGCCAGACGAGTACGACTGATCGGACGATTCGGCTATCAGGTATTCCGTCTGAAATGGGAACTGAAGAGAACATTAGGGAATTCATTGAAGGATTACACATTGGGGAAGTCGAAAGCATTACGCTGTGCCGCAACTGGAGCTCTTTGGACCATCTGATCAAAGAGCGGCTTGAAGTCTTACGGAATCTGGAATCGTCTTGGGTTCAGTATTTGGGCTACAAGAGAATCAGAAAATCTGGCGACACTCTGCCTTTGAGACATCAACCAGTTGATTCCAGCTTCTTCTCTGAAGACGACGAGAGAATGCGCCTTCTCTTGGAAAACGGACAAGATGACGCATTCAACCGGGCCAAAAGAAGACCGATGGTGCGAATTTGGTATGGCCCTTTGAAGTTACGGTATCGGAGAATTGATGCCATAGACTACTACGAAGAGAGGCTCCGGAGGCTTGACGAGGATATTCAGAGCGCGCGCCAGAAAGAGTATCCGCCGACTGAGCTCGCTTTCGTGACCATGAAATCAATAGCTGCGGCACAAATGCTTGTTCAAGCTATCCTTGATCCTCATCCGATGAAACTCCTTGCCAGATTGGCCCCGGCCCCAGCGGATGTTATCTGGAAAAACACCTACCTACCGCGCTCCAGGCGCATGTTCCAGTCGTGGTCCATCACTGTATTGATTTGCTTCCTATCTGTATTTTGGTCCGTGTTGCTCGTTCCGATCGGTACGCTTCTGAGATTCGAGACCCTTCACAAGGTGTTGCCTCAACTTGCCGATGCTCTGGCTCGACACCATATTCTCTACAATCTTGTTACGACCGGAGTCCCAACCTTGGCTTTCTCCCTTTTGACTGTTGCAGTACCTTATCTGTATAACTGTGAGTATCGACTCCCTGCTGCTAACCTTTACTATTACCTTGGTCTTGGCATTAACCATATCTATGCTACAGGGCTTTCACACCAACAAGGAATGATGTCTCGAGGAGACATCGAACTTTCTGTGATCTCCAAGAGTTTCTTCTTCTCGTTCTTCAACCTCTTTTTCATTTTCACGGTCATCGGCACCGCAACAAATTTTTATGGTCTTTGGGAGCATCTTCGAGACTCCTTCAAAGACGCCACGACGGTCGCGCTCGCTCTTGCCAATTCACTGGAAAGACTAGCACCATTCTACATGAACGTGTTTGTTCTTCAGGGTCTGGGATTGTTTCCCCTCAAACTTCTTGATCTTGGAAGCGTGTTCCTGTACCCCATCAATTACTTCATGGCCAAGACGCCCCGAGATTTCGCCGAGCTCTCAACTCCTCCTACATTCAGCTACGGATTCTCAATTCCACAGTCGATACTTATATTGGTCATCTGTGTGATCTACGGCGTTTTCCCGTCCTCCTGGTTGATCTGTCTCTTCGGACTGATCTACTTCACGATTGGCAGCTTTATCTACAAGTACCAGCTCTTATATGCGATGGACCACCGACAACACTCGACAGGTCGAGGATGGCCGATGATCTGCAATCGGGTCTTAGTAGGCCTGGTTGTGTTTCAACTTGCCGTGGCAGGCACACTTGCTCTGCGAAAAGCAATTACCCTGGCATTACTCATTGTGCCTGCAATTGGAGTCACAGTGTGGTTCAGCTACTTCTATTCTCAAAGCTATGAACCATTGACCAAATTTATTGCTCTGAAGAGCATATACCGTGACACGCCGTCATCTGGCGATATATCCCCGTCTACGACATCAACTTTTTCGCCGCCCCTTGCCCTTGACCGTGATACATTCCCAATCCGACTTGGAGGGCAAGTGCTTGGCCTCAAGTTGAAGAAATACGTCAACCCTAGTCTCATTTTACCCCTCGACAGTGCTTGGCTTCCAGGACGCAATCCCATGCCAGAGCTCGAAGAAGGATTTGAGTACTACGAAGATCCGAACCGGGTTTCAGTGTAACCCTTGACCGGAGGTAAACTAATGGGTGGAGGCTTGCTTGATTATACGACACTCTGATTGTTTTACGTTTGCATATAGATATCCCACTTCTTGTTTGTTCGCCCCGATTCTATGTAATTATTGTATTTTGTTGATACGCCGGGCATGATAGTCAATTGCCATGAGCAGGGATCAGTGGCTGCATGAGATGCTGCATGGCTTGCAGAACATATTAATAGGCATGAATATAACTTTCCTTGATCTCTCAGTTTGCTAGCGCTCCAACGTCCAGAGTACACATCACCTTGTATATAACAAACCGCTATAGCTGATGGTGCTGGGATGTGGGCCTGGCGATGAGAGTTGGCAACAGTCGCATTAGCCCTGCATTAGCAGCCCATGGATCTTCAAGAACTGATTGGTGTCCTGTAGACTCGGACTACGGTAGAAGTGATTTGAGAAGTGTGATCAGACTCTTCTTTCTTTTCTGGCGGCTTTCCGCGGCTCTTTCATTTCTCCTCTCCTCTCCATCCCCTCTCCTCCATCTTCCGAACGAGAACGAAACCATCACGAAAGCCCTACAAAGCAGCTCAAATTTATTACTTGGTCAGCGCAGAGTAAGGCAATGAGCCATGTTCGTTCAAAACGGGATACTGACTGATTTTCGTCAGGCTGGAGTAAGACCGCAGACCCGCCCACGATATCCTGAAGTCCCTCCCTTTTTAGCTGCTCCTTTTAGCCCGAGTCGTGGGTCCTTCTAACCGTCATCGATATTCTCACTCGCCTCTTTTCTCCGCGAGACCCAGTCTTGACGCAAACCCAAAACCCAATTCCATTGTTCGTCCTTCTTCTCCACCGCGAGCGCTGTCGCCAACTCGTCGGCTGGATGGCCGGGGTGGCTCCATACCACGCGGATCGCGACAATTCAGGCTCCACCATGGAGAGCTCAACCCTGGGCTCTGGCCGCGGGTGCCCTGCTATCTACGTCAGAGCCCCGGTTATCGCAGCTTCTCAGTCACGGTGACGGCGCTGAATAACCAGCAGTTTATATCTGATAAATTGGATGTCTGGTCAGGTGCCTGTTGGGTCTGCCTCCTCAATTCTTATACCTTTCCACGCCCTCGGATTGTTGATTATCGTCTTATCTTTTCGACTCGGAAGACTACGTCAGTACACGCTACACCGTAGTACGTACACTATCCTCGCCTGTACATACTCCATACGAAGGTCACCTGCCACGACCGCAATTGGATCTACCGCCGTGTTTCTAGCCAGGCGCCTTGTTTACGTTTTCTAGTATTTTCTGTACTGGTAAGAAACTTGATCTTTTTGATAGCGATGAGACTTGATCTGACGGTCTAGATCGGAGCGCTGAACATGGTTGTAAGCCACTCGGTCAAGAGGAAGCAGCCGTAAACCCTGTCTTTTGAATATTTGAAGGCTTCATAACTCGTGCAATTGACGTCAAGACAAACTCCTTCTAATGTTTCTTTATCCTTAGCAGCATATCTTAGCCACGTCAGACACCACCTTCGATATTCCAGGGACGACGAATATGCCAAGAGTTTTGAGTTATTCGAGCCGTGAAATTGGAGTCAGCACAAGCTCAGCCAGCGGAATACCTTCTACAGTGACCAAGAGAATATTGAACTATGTCCCCGAGAAGTCTCGCCGTTCGTTGCGTCTAACGTGCAGAGCTTGGGCTCAAGCCATCGACGAGATTCTGCCACCATCGCGTCCTACGGCGAATACTCTGCCCCCAGAGATCCTAACGCAGATATTCTATGGATTGAGCCCTCGAGATTTTGATAACGCTCGACGAGTTTGTTCTCAATGGATGCGCGCCAGCTTGAACGAACGTCTGCTAGAAAGTATGCTTAAGCGGGCAGGCTGGTGGGATAGCTGGCTCAGAGACACCCAGGATCGGCGCCCTAGTTATATGGACGAGAATGGCGAAAGCCCGGCGTGGAGAATGAGCAAGCGATTCGCAACTGAGTGCATGCTCTCAGGTCGCAAGATGAATGTCGAAAGAAGTGGCTTCGTGACGACGAGCATCGTCGACTTCTCGCGGCTTTCTCTAGCAGGTCACTCACCCAAAAGCCGCGATTTGTCTTACAGCTCGCCTTTCGCGAACGATATATCGGCAGCATCGAGCTTTCATGTGAGCAATTGCGGCAACTATCTCCTTGTGCTTTCTGGTCGCACTATCCACGTCTATCAGCTACTAGCTAGACGCAGTGTGAAATCCCCACCAATGTCTGAAGATGACCTGGGTAACATCGATATCGCGCCTGTCGCTAGCATCACTTGCCCGGCAGAAGCTTTGTCTGCAGCCATTGACACCAGCACGTCGAACTTCACTGTTGCAGCACTGTTACACAATAGATTGGGCATGATCTGCGAGCTTGCCCCAGTGGACCAGGAGCATACGGAGAATAATAATCGCTCAACAAGTCTTGTTCCTGATGTGGCGGGTAGCACTCTTGCGGAAAGCAGTCACTTTGGAAGCTCGTTTTCCAGAAAGATGACTTCTCGGCACTTCTATTACGATATTTGCTCCGCTCAGGATCCTCCGCACAGCATTTCAATCTGTCCAGGTTATCGCTGTGTTGCGTTCGGCTCTGACTCTGGGATCGAACTACGCTGGGTAGACCAGGAGACAAATAAAGGTTGTCGAAAGCACTTGCCAATGTCACAGCCTTCGGAAATCTTGCATTTCATGCCGAACCGACCGGATGGGCCTTTGGAGTTTCGACTGATATCATCACTGGCTGGTCCAGGGGTAGAGGGCTGCGATTGCCAAAAACTGCCACCCGGACAGTCGCGTCCATCCTGCCCATTCCACATTATCCCCGATGACGTACAAACGTTCAGTCGGTGGGCGCCGGAGCGGAAGGACCAAGCTAGCTTGGTTCGAACAACACAATGTCACTACTATCGAGCAGTTCCAGTCAATGACGGCGTTCATGTCTTGTTTGTCGAGCCACGCAGTGGGTATCTTTGCGTCGGATCAGATGCCCCTATCGATGGGCCAACGTGCCTCACAAGGGCACTAGTCTGCGTTCCTCCATTTGGGAATGATACGTCAACTGGGTCTCCGGACGCACCCCTACCCACAGCCTTCGCATCAGGCTCAGATTTGAATTGGGGACTTCGCGTGGTGGCTGCATATGGTGATAGGCTTGTTTTCTATTCCGTGCCACTGGATGTATTTAACGTCCTGAAGAAGGAGCGAGAGAGACAGGGTGACGGTGTCATGGCCGATAGCGATCTTGCCCGGGATTTTTTCCTCAACCAGCAACGAGGCAACGCGCGCCGTGGAAGTCTAGCTCAGAACCAAAACGGAGACTGGGAGTTCCTTCTGAGCGTTAGCTATCGGCCGACTGCCATGATGTGGCCGTTTAAGATCTACGGAAAGGAAATCGGCCGAGTGGAGAACGTGGTCGAGCTTTCCCTCCAGTCTTCTCATGGTGGTGCTCGCATATGGACGTTCAGCGCGTCGGGAGAGACGAACATCATCGACGTCGATACTTTTACATCTACCTCTCGGGATGCCTCCGAAATGCCCTGCAAGTCATTCACCATCGGCTCCGACGGGCGTATCGCATCCGCCCAGTTGGTTAACCGCTCTGAGCACTGTCTTGTTGCTCCTGAAGTCTCGCGCAAGCGAAAACAAACCGAGTCCCGAGCGGAGTTTATTGGACGGCACATGCTCCGTCAGCATAGCAGCCCGGTGATGGTCAACGGCCGCGATGCAACAGCGGCCAGCGATTTCTTGGTCAGCAGTAGCACTCGGCGTCCTTCGTTCGCGGCGCAAATCGTGGATGTTAGTATCCCCGAGCTTGCAGGCAGGCGGATGGGAGCTGAAGCTGTCTACTAATCCTTACATCGTGGTATATACACATTTACACATACTCACCTTCCGGCAGACATAGCGCGGCGCCTCTGGGTATGTATTCATATAGTACTGCTGCCTGGTTTTGCTTATGCTTCCTCTTTCATGATGACGATTTACGGATCACGGCTATACACTACTCTACTTCAAGGCACCCTTTGAACATATACACGATACATTGTCAGTAAATATACAATCTCCAACTCTTCCAAGTATGAGAAACAAGTCCGTGTAGGCGACGTTACAACTAATTCCATACCCAGCCCGAATGGTCTATGGAGTAGGTCATGGTCATATGACAGATGATGCTAAAACCACCTAAAGATATTCACCGTTAGCCCATTTTAGCACCATCTGTCATATGACCATGACCTACTCCATAGACTATTCGAGAAACCCTAGAAGCCGGGAAATCATCTCAGCTACCTAACTTAGCAAGATTTCCGTTGGGAGCGTGCTCAGGGCGCCTTGCAGATTCCTTGGTCTGGGCTTCGGTCTAGATCTCTCAATTGCAAGTGCAAATCGCACCGTAAAAAACCTTGCGGCTGCAGTAGAGATTCCGTACTGTTATGGATCAGAGACCTCTAGATATGTTTAGTTGAATGGACCGTGATTGAAGACGATGACAACGGCTTAAGACGCCGTTCGAGGCTCCGAGTCCAACTTTTATTTACTATAACATACACTAAATTCGCTAAACATGAATTATTTTGAATGCCCGAGATATAAGCCCAGAACCATGTCCATTTTGTTGAATTATACGTCGACGGTGGCGCAATGCAATTAGGAGCTGGAGGCAAGTTTCTCTCTCCGAGTCGCAACGGCCTTTGCGAGGGTCTCTAGCGTTGACTCGGTGTCTTCCCAGTTGATGCAGGCGTCGGTGATACTGACGCCGTACTTGAGGCCGGCCTTACCCTCGGGTGGGACCTTTTGGGTGCCTGCAAATTCAATGTCAGCGGGAGTTCTGAGACGACAGATGGGGGAATACGCACCCTCGTTGATATTACTCTCGATCATGACACCCATAATCGCCGTCTCGCCAGCAGCGATCTGCTCAGCTAGTACACCCGCCACCTTGGGCTGGTTCTTGTGGTTCTTCTGGGAGTTTCCGTGGCTGCAGTCGACCATTAGGCGGGGCGCCAGGCCCTTAGCGGTAAGCTTCTCCTTGGCCTCGGCGATGCTAGCAGCGTCGTAGTTGGGCCCCTTCTTTCCGCCGCGGAGGATAACAAAGCAATCGGGGTTACCGACGGTGCCGACAATGGCGACGACACCGGGCTTAGTAACGGACAGGAAGTGGTGGGGGTGTTTTACGGACCCAATCGCGTCGACCGCGACGTCTAGCGAGCCATCCGTACCGTTCTTAAAGCCGACGGGGAAGGAGAGACCGGAGGCTAACTCACGGTGGACCTGTGATTCGGTTGTGCGTGCGCCGACCGCACCGACGGACAGACAGTCTGCCAGGAACTGTGGGGAGATCGTGTCCAGCATCTCGCTGGCAATTGGCATACCCTTGTTGGTGAGATCAGCAAAGAGCTGGCGCGAAATACGCAGGCCCTTGTTGATGTTGAAGCTGTTGTCGATATCGGGGTCGTTGATGAGGCCCTTCCAGCCGACAGTCGTCCGGGGCTTCTCGAGGTAAGAGCGCATAACAATCAGAAGCTCGTCCTTGTATTTCTCCTTCAGTTTCAGCAACCGGTCGCAGTACTCCATGGCCATTTCGGGGTCGTGAATCGAGCAAGGTCCAATGACGACAAGGAGACGGCGCTTGTCGGTATCCGTGCCGTGGGCGACTGCAATGGCCTCAGCTCGGCCTTGAAGAACCGTTTGCCGGGCTTTTTCTGTTAAGGCGATCTCATGTTGTAGGAGGTTGGGGGGAGTTAGAGGGTTGTATCCGCGAACTGTTGGCAAGAGCTTTCGTTAGTGTGGTCCAATGGCAAAGTAATTCAGCAATGACATACTTCTGGAATCTTCAAGGTGGTTGGTATCCCCTAGATTGGGGTTAGGAAGGAAGAACTGCGATTTGACATGAGATTTTTTTTTCGTTGGTGAGCTGGCTCGGCTTAACTCACTGAGGACATGGTTTCGCGGGGTAGCTTGTATAGATCGCTATGACGGAGCGGACGAATTGAGGGAGAGGATGGACAAAAGGAGCTACAAAACTCTCTCAAATGAACCAATTCGTTGATGCAAACAGATTTCTGTCCTTTTCTCGTCGCGCAAGAGTATATTTTCCTCTATTGTAAAAAAAAGTTGGGAGCTTTGAATTGATCAATCGCGGGCGGGAATGAAAGAGTCATCCTTCTCCACGTGATTCCGGTGAGTCAGATCGAAATCAATTGCTCCTAATTCGCTTTCATTCTAGTAACAGCCTGTTCCATTGGACCTCGGATGCTCGGCCCTTGCATTGTGCACGAATAGTCGCGAGTCTGCTCGGGCCAACTGCAATACTACATATATCGCTGGCTCACAGTACTCCTTCAACAAGATGCCGTACAGAAGCCATCTCTCATGGGCCATTGCGTAGGACGGATACCGCTGAACTGCTTGCCCTACTTTGCACTTACTGGCTTCCACCGGCGGCTTCCAGAGTCCGTTCGTTCTCCTCCAATTGACGAATCAGTCCCTGGCATACATCTGCGTGCTGCTGTTTGATGGAGTGCATTTGTTGTTTGCACATCCTTATACGTTCCATTTGCGCTCCGAAGAGGTGGTCGAGGACGTTATGGCATTGTTCTTTATAGCCGTCGAGGACTCCATTGATTGTGGCCCGTTCGCTCTCAATCTGACGAGAAAGGTACTAAAAATCCGTTAGCAAATGCAAAGGCGTTCAGCAATTCTTCTCTGACACTTACTTCGTTGTTACTGATTAGTGTCCGCTCCATTCCTTTGTGGAGTTCGCGCAATGATGTCTGCCAGTCAATCCGCCCAGCAGCGCCTTTTGACAGTCCAAACGATGATTTCTGCTCCGGTTCATCTTCGGCTGTCTCCTTTAAAGCATGTTCCCTGCTCCCAAGAGTTTGTTGTTGTTCTTGGCTTGATTTTAGCCCAGGCAAAGTGGCCTTCAAATCTTTTTGAATGCGTTCTCCAGCACTCGCCTGGAGGCGGCTAAGAAAGGGGTTATGCATTTCCTTTTTGGTGGAATTTGTGTATGATGCGCCAAGGTTCGTTTTAGACTTTTCAGTAGGCACGAATGATCCTTGAGTGTCTCCTGCGCGAGCTGAAGTTGTAGTAGGCAAATTGATACCCATGCCGTCCTTCTGGTCTGATCCTTTCATTCGCTTTGGACTTCGTTGCTCGAGCCTAAAATAATTTCCGCGTCGTTTTGGTATGGTATGTTCTTCTTTCGCCGCTTTCGATTGCTGCATAAGTCGAGGGCTTCCGTTCTTGTCCACAATTGTCTTAGCACCTGAATCTGGGTACTCGGCAACAGGCTCTGCGCCGTCTTTGATGAGTTCCTTCTGGCCGCTGGTGGTGAGGCGGGCATCAGCTTTGTTTTCATCGCTAGGAATCTGTAAGCGATACTCTCTAGATGTGGTCCCCTCCAAGGTTGCGCGAGTGGTATTTCGCTTCGAGCTAGATGATACAATCTTCTCTGTGTGGTCAAGGCAGGTAGAGATGTGTTCTTTGAGGCCCGGCTCCGTAGAGTAAGCTTTGACTGTTCCTGTCGCCGATGCAACCTCATCTGGGCGGCTAAGGAAGGGACTGGATTTGGACTCTTTCAAGGATGGGCTCGAATAGTATACTTCCGGCGTTGACTCCGTCGACAGTGGTTCTACTGACGAGCTAGCGACTTGAGATGAGGTCCGTCGGGCCCTTTCATTCTCTCGTCCTCCCCCGGTTCCAGATAGAGCCACCCCCTTCCCCAAAACCCACTTCTGCTCGTCATTGTTTTGTAATGAGCTGCTTTGACTCGCATCGGAAGATTCGCCGGAATATATCTTGACAGGATATATTTCGTCGTCGGGAATGCCTTCCTGGCTCATGTTTGATGTCCAGGAACCCGGTATATCTTGCTTGTCATTCTCGTGCTTCCCCTGGTGTTCCAATGGCTTATCGAGAGCAGGCTCGTTTTGCGTTTCGGAAGATTTAGGAACCATTGGGCCTCCATATTCTGCACCATCAAACAGCTCGTCCACGTAACTCTGGTTGGCAGAACACTCGGGCGAGCTGCTTCCTCGTAATGCCGCGATCAGCTTTTCTGCAACTGTCTGGCCCCTGCCTTGATTATCTCCTCCCAGATGGTTGCATTGGTCTAAACTGGATCTCATCTTAGATTGGCTGTTCCAGCCATCGTTTCTTTGAGGCAGAGGGGAGTTGATTTTAATGCTCTCAGCTTCACGAGCTTGAAACGAGCTATTGGGTTCAGCAATTTTCTTGACGGACGCATTGGCGACTTCGGCATCAAGCCTTAATTCCTGACTGAGTTGACTACTACCGGCCTTAGGTCTACCAAGCGGTGGTGAGAGAAGATTGGTTCCACTTCTCGTACGCTTCTTCGCTTGTCTCGCACTCGCAGTGTTCCGTTGCCTCTTATTATTCATGGCTGGTTTCTTTCGAGAAGAACCCCCTCGAGGCCTTTTTGAGCTCTGGTTAAAGGTATAACGAGCGCCGCTTGATGACGGAGAGGAGACCGAAGTAAGCTCGGAATTTCTCTGGGATTCTGGGTCAACTGACGCATCACTTGCTCGAAGATCTTCGTCCCAATCCACTGCCTTTGTTCTTGCTGCAGTATATAGCTTGGCTCTGGTACGACGTCTGGGGAATATGAGTGATTCCTGGGTATTGTGCGGAATAGGTTTCAGCACATTATTTGCAATTACCGACTTGCTCTTCTGAGAGGATCTTGACCGAGTGTTTTTGGCAGGTACGCTGTCAGATAGATTCTCCTTCACTGGCGATGCTGTCTTTCCCAGAGACCGCGTTCTCTTCTTCGTCTGGCTCTTTGTACGAGACCTCGGGCTAGTCGGGCGTGAGCTTTCTCGAGCTCCTGGCGAGGAAGTTGCATGTAGAGTAGGGGTCCGCGTAAGGTCTGTTAGACTGCTTTGAGAGACCATTTCAAAGGCAACCTCTAAAGGTTTGTCATTACATTCCATCTTATTTGCCGAGTCATTCCTCCAATGGACACGGGGGGAAGTTGGCCCTGCTACTGCCTGCGTTTCTACCTCAGAAGATGGGAAGGAGTCGGGAATTATCTCATCGTCCATATCTAACGGTATGACGACTGATGATGACCTTCGGTTGCCTGGGCTCGTCCTGAACCTCTTTGTTTGGCATCGTATACCAATAGCTTCGAATGCTTTCGACATCCCGGTCAAGTCATCTTCAGAGTTGATGTTGAGATTTATATCCTGTAGATCGCGCTCTTGATCGTTTAGTGTAGTTGAGTCATCCTCGTGTATATGAAGAGCTAGAAGGCGCTTCCGCTCTCCCTTCCCACTGGAGAAATTGCATTTAGTTCTTGTCTGGCGAGTGAGCCGGATCGTCAGGTAGTTCGTTCTCCAGCCAGAATTATCCTTGCCGCAGTGTATCAAGTCCAGTCCGTCAGCGCAGAGTATCAATAGGACCGTACCTTGCGGTAGACCGCTCGCATATGCTCCGTCCGATTCCACAAGATAGCATACGGGCAAGGCGCCATTAGCTACATCGCGTCTGGTCCTACCACCCACGCTGAACGTGCTTTGCCTCTCCGCGCGCACGTAAGCGTAGAACTGTCCGATTGCGCTTCCTTGCATCTTTATGTGGTGCAACATTTCCGAACATGGTTCATTCGATTCCCAATGGCTGTATGATCCTGACTGGTATATGGCTCGCATTATCGTACTCGAGAAAAAGGACAATACGATATCTGTATCAGAGAGAGCGCCAGCGATTTTTCTAGACCGCGATCAATATACGTCGATAAAGAGATTGACGCTGGGGATACCTTAGGCCTTCATCGCTATTCAGGATCTCGAGCACTTGGCAATGCTCCTCAGGATCGTATACCATCTCCATTAGCACCTTGCCTGCCTGGTGTCGTCAGCATGTTATTTTCTTCTCCAGCCATGCGAAGCATACCATCCTTCGGATCCGAGCGTCGCCTGTCCCATTTGCGAATATTGAAAAAGCTTTCTCGATTAGGCTCTTCCGCACAAGCGGCAACACAGTCTCTGACCCTGGGGCGTTTACCTCAGACTGCGTGGTGTACGATTCTGCAGTGTACTCAGGCTCATTCTGTGGGATAAGTGCATTTGGGTCAGCGAAGCCGTAATAGAATGTTAAAGTAGGCGACGCACTGTCAATAGATGTAACCCCAATTCGAGGCCATCGCTGTCAGGCAGCCTGAGCAGATAGGTTGAAAGGCATCGTAGCGAGACTGTCTCCAATGCACGCGCTATCCCGTCTCGATGCTGGTTGGCAAACGAGAACATCTCGCCTGAGCCAGAGGGTATGTCTGATTCTTCCGCTAGGAGGGCCTTGAGCAAAGGCCCCGAGAAGGTGTACAGCGGAGGCTCAATGAGGAGACAGGAATGATGAGGACCAGGGAGAGGTACTGCAGCTTCTGTGAGTGCATTATGTAGAAGCAAAGAGAGCTTTGCAACGCAATCCGCTAGATCCGCCCGGGTTTTTCCAGCTTCCTCCAAGCATTGAGACGACATGCAGTCCAAAGCACTCATGGTCATTCGAAACGGTATCCGGAGTCTGATGGGTAGTGGCTGTGGAAAAGAGCTCAGTTGTCGATGCCAGGCAGTGGAAGGAAAGCGGCCATCATGTGATAGCACACCACAACACCTTCTCAGAATATAGACATTTCCCAACAGTTTATCAGTACATATTGCACATCAAGAAAGCCTATAACCCAGCAGACAGAAAGCAGAGCAGTCATGTTCAATGAGAGAAAAAGGTTCCGCCATGTTCCTCCTATCTAGTGAGCCCATATAGATAGATCTGCTTGCTCCTAAAATGAAAAGGCTATAAGCAACAAAGTCCATTCATCCGCCGGTTTTGATTCGACAAAATATAGATCGCGCTATCTGGATGGCTGCTTTTGTTGGCGGGATCGCGCCATAGTTTCTGTTGGAAAATCTCATTGCAATTGGCAGCGCCGATCCAGGAACATAGAGCTGATCCCTGCTTGCTCCGCTAAACTGAAATCTGGAGTACAACTTCAATCCAACTTCTCAGAGACATCAAATCGTCAAGCCGCCAATGTTCGAGCATGGTCTACCCCTGGAAATTGAGAGTAGCCTGCCTTTGTCAAGGTTACTAGCAGATACTGACTAATTGCAGTCAGACGGCCCAACCGGCTCCGTCCCCCGATTGTCTCGCCTGTCGGTTGAACCGAGATCCGGCTGCCACTCGCTCGGAGATTTGCGTTGTTCCTTGATCCGACTCCAGTCAAAGTTCTAGCAAACAGTGACGTTAAACCTGACTGGACGGATTTTTCCATCTCTGAGCTGGTACCACCTATGGCAGGATCCGTACCAAAACCGGTCTGGCTTAGGATGCTTTCCTTTATAAGGCACTCTGTCCCTCGAGGCGCAACTTCGTTTCACTCGTTGTGGCCACTATACAAAATCTTTAGAAATGCAAAACGACCAGTTTGAGAACCAACGGCTAGAAGGGGCCCAGGATGCTTCGTTCATGACCTTATCTCAGTCATACACCCTTGAACAGACAAAAGAAGATTTGCTTCCGTGCGGTCAGAAAGACATATTCACATCCCGCGGCGTCCCGGAGACAACGCCTATCCGCCAACAAGCCTCGATCTCAGCACGGTCAGTCGACCAAGATGAATACCTTCCGGGGAGGGTCTGTGCCGGCGACAGCAGTCTATCCGCCCAAAACACCGTTCTATATCTGGCCTATGGATCGAATCTCGCATCCAAGACCTTCTTAGGAATGCGCGGCATCAAGCCCCTCTCGCAACTCAATGTGATTGTTCCAGATCTCAGATTAACATTCGATCTCCCGGGAATTCCGTACATTGAACCATGCTTCGCAGGGACTCATTTCCGGGATATCCCCGCTGCTGAAGACGAGGAGAACGATGTCCCAGACTTTTTAGAAAAGCACACCCTTTTACAGAGATCAGAGAGCGATCAAGACCGCTACAAGGGTCCACTCATCGGCGTCGTATACGAGGTCACGCTGTCCGACTACGCCAAGATTATAGCCACAGAAGGAGGCGGCCGCGGCTACAAAGATATCGTAGTGACCTGTCAGCCATTTCCAAACGACTATAATCCTGCCGACCCAATTCCAGAGCGCCCAGCGACGCAACCCTTGAAGGCACATACGCTCCTCTCACCAGCCGGCATGCAGGAGATGCAGCTTCGAACAAAGTCAAAACTCGGTGTCCCGCGGAACAGACGCTACACTCAACCTTCCGCTCGTTATCTGAACTTGATCACCACCGGCGCTGAAGAGCATAACCTCCCTCTAGAGTACCGGGCATATCTTGCTCAAATCCAGCCGTATCGCATCTCATCAGTGCGACAGAGGATTGGCATGGTCTTTTTCCTGGTTTTGTGGGGTCCGTGGCTCCTGCTGATCCTGGGGTTATCGCGATTTTGTGCTCGTCCAGATGGACGCAGTCCTGAGTGGGTGGGCGGACTTAGTGACTCTGTGAAAGCTGGGATCTGGATTAGTTATGACAAAGTATTTGTGCATATATTCGGGAATGGTGAAAGGACTGTGAAGCGATGAGACCTGATGCTGCTAACCGCATTGTGTATAATTGACGTGCATACAAATACCTCTATAGCTGGGTGCTTGAATGCTCTGTCTCTATATCAGCATATGCAAACAAGATCCATAGAAGTCATCCATGCGACCATCACATCTAACAAAGGAAATAGTGACATTGGTTCTTCACACAAGTTTTGACGGGAAATAAATATCTAAGATACAGATACAGGTGTCCTGGAACATCTAACAAAACAGGAGAAAGGCCATCGGCTGGAAAGACCGAGTGAAAGATGCATAAACGACATGGGTAACGAGATTGACGGCTCGTATTAATCACACTCGCTATACGCCGCTAGATCCTTCACTTTTCATACTTTATACAGTCCATTTGCAACCTTCTAGCGCCGGGGAACGGGGGGGCTGTACACGATCTTTCGCGTCTTAACAGGGGCCCACTTGTAGCGCTTGACCCAGACGCTGAGGGCGAAGAGACCGGTGAGGAGAGTGATGGCCTTGAAACCCATCTTCTTGCGGTCATCCATCTCAGGCTCGGCAGCCCAGTTGAGGAATTCGACGACGTCCTTGGCCATCTGGGAGGTGGTGGCGGGGGTGCCGTCCTCGTACTCAACAACACCATCGAAAAGGACACGGGCCATGGCAATAGCTAGGAATGGTCAGTCAAAGTTCAACTCGGGGCCAAATCAACGAGGGCCGTACCAGTTCCAGGGAAGTAAGGGTTGAAGTTCATGCCCTCCTGAACGGAAGCACCAGCCGGGGGCTCGTCGGGGTAACCAGTGAGCAGACTGAAGATGTAGTTGCAGCCACCGTGACGGCCCTTGACGATCAGGCTGAGATCCGGGGGCAGAGCACCACCGTTGGCGAAACGGGCAGCCTCCTCATTTTGGTAGGGAGCGGGGATGTAGTCGGACAGCTTTCCGGGGCGCTTCTCGATTTCACCCTGGTCGTTGGGCTCGGTGTCGTACTCGTTCTCTTCGGCAAAGGCCTTCATCTCATCAACGGTGTGCGTCACACCGACAAACGAGCGCCAGGGCACACGGGTAAGGGAGTGGCAACTGGCGCAAACTTCACGGTAGACCTGGAAACCACGGCGGAGACTAGGAGACAAAATCGTGAGTAAATGGGCTGTCCCCGGCCACGGCACTCGTGGCTACCTCGGGGCAAACTCACGCGGCGTGGTCGAAGGTCTTGTTCCACTTGGCGTGCTCCCAAGGGTACTGAGTAGCGTGCAACCTTGAACGCGATATGTCAGCTGCTTGATCGAGTTGACCTCATGATATGGCTCGGTTGGGAGAACGGAAAGAGCGGAGGTGATGCAATTCCGTAACACAGTCAATCGACTCACCCCTCCTCAGCAGGTGTCATCGCAAAAGCTTCCTGTCCATAGAGATACGTAGCGGATCCGAGGGCGATGGCGGTAGCGACCGATGCAGTGAGTGTGAGGTGGAAGGGGGAGCTGGCGGATTCGGCACCGGCAGCCGAGGAAGACGCACGCTGCTCGAGATATCAGTAACCGAGCATCATGGAGGTATCCGTGGCATTGCATTGAGCGATTGTTGTCATCCATTGAGGCCAATGGAGGCGGAGGCCGGGGTGATGCGTACCGAGGAGGTCTTGTTCAAAGACTGACGTGCGAGGCCCCGGAAGGGCACGCTGCGCAGGACAGTACGTGCCAGCATACTGAAAATATGAAGGACCCTCCGATCAAAAGATAAACAGAAAGGTACGATAACCGCGTGCGGGGAGAGAGGGGAGGGGGCGTGAGGGTGAGCGCACAGGAGATGTGAAGTCGAGGTTATCCGAAGTCAAGTTTCTCGCTGAGTCGCTGGTAATGCCTAAGCCTCCACTCTGATTGGCTGCTGCTGCGCTAACCTTCTTCGGACAGTATCGGAACCCGGGCCTGAGCCATAACAAATCCATGCCACTCAACGCTCAAGTATCTTTTGATAGCATGATCTTGACTATTATAAACAATTGGAGAACGCAGCTAATTACTCCGAGAGAGTAGACATACTCTACACTTGACGTTTTGCCAGTGTTGTCGGCGACTCGATTCTGCCGGAGCTGTTTCCGAGTTAGCCCGTGAATACTAAGGCATCATCAGATGCCAGGTCAGGTCTAGATGCATGGTCAGATCTAGGGACTCTCGAAGCATAATAAAGCCTTTCTCGGATATGATAGGCATAGTAGTGAGCTTTGCGTTTGCTCAATGTAGCCAGTCCAATGCTCCGATCAAGACAATTGGTTTGTGAGTGCTATCCATACTTCTTGTTTGAATATATAGTTGGCTGGGCAGGATAGGTACCTGGACGATGGTGGTCTAGCATTGTGATATGCTTGATTTAGATGCTCTACTAGTAATTACAACTTCATTTGTACTAAATGTAGATTGAAGACTTGGCAGAGAGAGTATGAAGTTGTTTCTTTTTGTTGTGGTGATATAGATGGATGGGTCGGAAGGGGAAAATGCCCCGCCGATCCAGCCATGGTTTTACGGAGTAGGGAGCTGCTCAACCGCAGCCGGATTCACACCTGGGTTTCCCCACGATGCATGTCTTACAATGTCGATGTTCTCTTTATGGATGACGTTAAGGGTTTATCTTGGTACAGCTTAATATCCGTCTACTTTTTCAGTTACCTCTTGCCGCGATCCGCTGACCGGTCGGAGATTGTGGTCATACCTCCGTGGACCCTGACGAGCTCCGACAGCCCAAAACAAACAATCCTGTCACCATCCTCTCGATGCAGGCTTTGACACGGCAATATGTCGAAAGCGAGGAATGGGCCGGGCACAGGCGGGAAGCCTCGCCGCGATGTGCTGGCATCGCTCAAAATGGCCTCTATGGAGGAGATCTCCAGGGCTTCTCTCCCCGCAGGTTAGCATAGCCAGAGTCAAGGAGGCGCGTAAAGTGGCTGACACGGAGAAGAGATAATGTCTTCGATCCTCGACCATCTCTCACCCGTCGACCTTATTCGAGCGGCCCGAGCATCGAAGCTCTTGCGCGAAATGGCGTACGATGATTCCCGATGGGTACAAAGGCTCAAGAGGATAGGTTGCTGGGACGAAGTGGAGGCTCGCAAGAATGCGGAAGAGAAATTCGGAACAATTGCAAATAGGGCGAGCATCGAGCTTCAAGAATCCGGTGCCGCTCAGCAAGCGCTGGGTCAGCCAGCAATCGAGGTGACTGCGGTCTCAGACGGGTTCGACAAGATAAACCTTTCCGCATCTGCAACCAACGATGTTGAAGACTTGGAAACCGATCCGGTTCTTGGGGCGCTGAAACTATCAAAATCTATCCGGGGAGAGGCCCGGCAGGAATATGGAAAGATACATGCAGCACTGGCACCGTTTTACGACGATATCGCCACTCTTGGCCCTTCATCGGAGAATCTTCTCTTTCAGAACTATACAGAGCCCAAACAACAGGCGCAATTATTATTTGAATTGCAGGCATTTGCCAAATGCGACACGACAGAAGGATGCGAAAAGCGACATGAGCACCTGCGAACCGCCGTGTCGATGTTTGAAACGGCCGCATTGAAGGAGTTCAGGCACGGCTATGAGACTGAAGATATTGACGGCCGAATGAAGACATATGCCCATGTTCTATATACGTTGAATGGCGGGAGCTCAGCTTCTGAGCTTTTTATTCAGCACAATCATATAGTCACGAAAAAGTCTGAGCTTGGTAAACCCAGCGACTGTATTGATGGATTGGCTCAGAAGGTGAAGCTTCATCAGACGCAGGTATTCTTCACCCGAGTAAGTGTGGCTTTCAATGAAGAGGTCTCAATCATCAACCGTGCCTTTCCACCAGCCCTACAAACAGCCGAGCCGTTTATCGAGAAGGTGGGTCGTGATGTGCTTTCCCCTTTTTTAACCGCGATATTTGATGAACTGCATCGCTCGAACAAGGAGTCGTACCTTGTCTCGGTCTCGAGTACTTTTGCACAGTGCATGAATTTATGTGACAATCTGCTACCCATCCAAAACTCCCTCGATACTTTTGACGAGCTCTTGCATCGGACTATTGCCCAGCTATACGAACCGCACGTGGATCTATATCTGGCTGAGGAGCTCGATTTCTTCCGAACAGGCTCAGAAGCCTCTGTCGGGGAGTGGGATAGACAGCTCTCTGAGCAAGCTGCCTCGACCGAATCGTTCCTACTTTCCAACATCAACAGACAAGCCGACAAGCGAGATTTCCTGACCTCCTTTAAAAAGGTGATCATGGCGCCAGTAAACATCCTTCCGAGCTTCTCAGCAAAGCCCAGCGAACAACAAAAGTCGGACCATGATTCTTCGGTCGGCGAAGCTGGCTCTACATCCAGGACAAACCGATTCTCTACGATCTCTTCACCTGGCACTCCACCAATCCAAGAAGCCCCTACTACTGAACTCGCGGCGAAGGCGGCCATTATGAAGTCCAAAATGGAGGGCATTCGATCTTTGTTCAGTATCGAAGTTGCTTTAGGGCTGGTTCATGCGGCCAAGTCCAGCTTAGAGCGTGCGGCCCAATTTCTAGTGATCGGAGGTGAAACAGGCGCCGCGGTCAAACAGCAGTGCGAGGCAATTTTTGTCGCTCTGTTGCGTATTCTCGGCCACGGTCACCTCATTAAAGGTTTCAACAAAGCAGTCGATCATCTCTCGGACTATCGGCCTCGGGAGCAAGCCGACCGTGATCAATCTGGGGTTGAGCCGTTGGTGACTTTCCTTGAGCTTGTGAACGTCGGGGATCTTATTCTCCAGATGATTGACGTCTTCTACGAACAGGAGATGATTGGATCAAACCTCACTGACCGGAATGACTTTTTGGATCCAGCGGTGAAGGAGAAGAAGAAGTTTGAGCAAAATCTTGATGAACGTGTCGCGGCTGGGTTGAACAAGGGTATCGACGTTCTTATGGAGGAAGTGGATTACATTCTTGCAACGAGACAGCTGGCAACCGACTTCAACCCAGGTGTCTCTACTGATCCACACCGGAAAACCATGGATGTAAGCGTCACAGAAGCAGCAGCCGCTGTGGTCGACGTTGTTTCATCACATACACAAATGCTCGTTGGGAGCACGGATAAGAGTACCCTTGATGTATTCAACCAGGAAGTTGGTTTACGTCTCTTTACTGCTCTTTGTAAGCACTTGAAGCGTCAGCGGATCAGTATCGAAGGATCCTTGAAGCTGATCAGGTATGTTCTCAAGCACATCCATATCAGCTCTTTCTAACGGTGTCCAGTGACATGAACCACTACTTCAAGTTCATCCAAAGGCTCAAAAACAACGAGCTACTCATCTACTTCAAGGCCTTTCGAGAGCTGTCACAGATCTACCTCATCGACTCCTCCGATGCTAAGGAGTTAGCCACCCTCATTGCTGACGCAAGTCGGTTCTCCGGCATTTGGCGAGTCGAAGAGGTGTACGAATTTGCAGAGAGACGAGCAGATTGGTTCCAAATCAAGCCAGACGTTGAACGAGCCATGTATGGAGTTGGATGCAGTGTTATGTGATTGCGGCAACATTTTGATGTATATATTGAAACTATACCCATAAGAAGCGAAAAGAATATAGAACTATATATGCTCTACTAGCATTTACCCAGTCAGCGCGAATGACCATCTTGACGTCAGTGGGCGCCTACTGTGACAAGTGGACAAGAGCTCTCATCCTTTCAGGACATATAGCGCCTTGGTTTTCCTGCAAGCCTTGTTTTAGACAGCGCTAGACTTGGTGGCCACTAGGCTGACAGGTTTTGCAGTCTGCAGCATGACTTAGACCCTTCTGACGCTGCATGGGTTATTTTTGGCGGCTCCGATCATATATAGCACAAAAGGCCCATCACAGCTCCCTACATCCATAGCTATTGACCATGTATCTCGCGCCCTTAGAAGATTTACTCGCCTGATACACATAAGCGGCCAGATTATCATGATACAGAGAGTATTGTCAACAATGAGTCTGAGAAGAAAGCCACGCTGCTGCTGAAACCAACAAAGCTCTTCCCGAGCAAAGCCCTATCTATCCATATAAGACGGCGAAAGAATAGGCATATCTCAGATTCTGATATACCAGGCGAAAGCCGAGCTACTACAACATATTGCCTCTCACTCAGTAAAGAAATGGAACCTTCAATACACCGACACCACCAACTATCTACCCCTCCTGTGCTCGTCATCGTTCAATGGCTCTTAACAACAACCCTATTGCTTCTACCACACACGACATCAGCCGCCGAAACAACAGTTGTCACCGTCACCGAAACAGCCACTGCCACTGCAACGACACTCGCAACAGCCACCCCCGAAGTCCCACAAGACCCCTCCTATACCTCCCAGCGGCAGTTTAGATCATCCATCCTCGAAACAACAAATATTTACCGCGCCGCGCACAACGCCTCAGGTCTCCGCTGGAACGAGACGCTTGCGGACTTCGCTAAGGACTGGGCGGAGGGGTGTAAGTGGGAGCACTCCGTGCGTAACCTGCTATTCTGCTTTCTACTATCTACCTCTAAGCTAATTGCAACTGAGACAGAGCGGGCCGTACGGCGAAAACCTCGCCTACGGATACACGAATGCATCAGCGGCAGTGACAGCATGGGCCGACGAAGCTGCCCTGTATGACTTCTCCAAGCCAACGGGGTTCACCGAGGAGACGGGGCACTTCACGCAGCTTGTATGGAAGAGTACGAGGGAGGTGGGCTGTGCGGCTGTGGATTGCGGACTGACGGATTTGGATGGTGATGAGGACGGGGAGAGCGAGAGGGCGCAGGGGTGGTATGTCGTTTGCGAGTATGTGCCTCCGGGGAATGTGATTGGCGCGGAAGATAAAATGGAGTATTTTCGGCTTAATGTGCAGGAGAGCAATGGGGATGGAGACGGAGATGAGAATGATTCGGGGCCTGGGGATAGCGCGGGTCTAGGTCGTGGGGTCCTAGGGTGGAGTATACCGGGGGTTGGGTTGTGGGCTGGGGTAGTTTTGTATATGCTGTGTTCCATATAGCGGAGAAAGGATACGGATTGCGCAGTATTTGGTGGCTCGTCATTGTCTGTCATTAACTCATGCTACCAACATCATGCATATAAGCTTCCCCGGCAGGGAGGAATGCAATATCTATTCACTTTTGAACAGTCCCAGACGACCACCCCCAAGCTTGAACCACGCCAATGGAACAGCACAAACGGCACACAATGAGGGAGGAGAAGTAGGCGGCAGCAGAGAGAAAGGGTGTGTGGGGCTGGATATCGACAGAGACAGTAGATAATATAGTAGAGAAAAAAATGGAAGTTGTAATGAAATTAGATACGAAAAGAAGAGGAAAGGGTAATTCAACCAATGATCTCTTCGCTCTCCTCCACAATCTCTTCCACGATCTCTTCGACGACCGTCTCGCCCTTGTCCTCTGTGTCGCTGGGCGCATCCTTGGCAAGCTTGGGCGAGTCGACCTCCTCGGACAGGCCGTAGGCCTCCTTCTCCTCGGCAAGCAACTCCTTCTCCCGGCGGAGCCAGGCAACCCACTCGTTGAGAACACGCTTGCGCTTCTCGACGACGGCAGTGTTGGCAATGTCGACGGCGTACTTGTCTTCCTCCTCGAATTCCTTGGAGTATTCGCGGAGGTTCTTTCGTACTTGCTTTTGCTCCTCCTTGCTGAGGAGAGTGGGGGGACGAGGGCGCCACAGGAACTGCTTGAACTTATCCGTAGGGTTTTCGGCGAGCGTCTCTCCGGCGAAGGTGTGAAGGTTGAAGCCGTTTTCCATCTAGAAATGGATTGTTAGTAACAAACCACTGATAAACCCAGAAAGACATACCTGGTGCGTCCATGCGCTAGCACCACTGACAACGTAACGACCCGTGGGGTCCCATTCAATATCTGTGACACCGTAGTGGTCGACGGTCTTCATCAACTGCAGGTTGGCTGCCAGATCCTTCTCGTTCTCGTTCTTCTCGCCCTCGAAGTCCATATCCCAGAAGTCAAGGTCAAAGCTTGACTGGGAGTGGACTGTCGCAACGACGACGAAACGACCCTTAGGAGACCAGTAAATAGCGTTGCTGTTCTTCTTCTCGACAGTGCGAACAAGCTTGAAGTTACCGGCTTGCACACCCTTCTTCTCCGGAGCGAAGAAAGAGACGGCGGTCTTGGGAGCAGCACCACCGCCAGACGCGTCACCAGTTGTGATGAGAACGAAACGGGCTCCGTTGGGCTCCCATGAGAAGTTGATCACAGTGTCCTTGAGACTGTCTACAACTTCGACGGGAACACCCTTCTCTCGTACTCGGAAAATTTCGAGGTTGGTGGCCATGGACTTCTTAGACTTGGAGTGACGATCCACCTTGACACAGACGAAGTTACCCTGGCTCTGCCAGTGCAGCTTCACATCGGAGACGTTGAAAAGGTTACGGGTTCGGACGATCTCCTTGGAGGGAACGCTCATAAGGGCGACTCGGGCAGGGTTGCTGCCAATCTCGGGAGTCCAGAAGCAGAGGAGTTGTTCGTACTGCTTAACACCGTCACGGTTGACCGTCGCTGGCGACCACTCGAAATCCATGACTCCATCGATCTTGACAGACGTCTTGCCGAGAAGGTTCATACGGGGGAGTTCGTAGATAGAGATCGACTGGCCTTGGAGCATTCTCGCAACGTACTTCTCATCAGCAGACCACTTGAAAGCTGGCCACTGAACCTTCTTCTTGGGCTGAGCATCGCTTTCGGGGCCTGCCAGGTCATGTGAAACGAATGAACGGAGGGGCTTGCCTGTCACAATGTCCCAGACAATAATGTTCTTTCCGTCCTCCTCGTAGGTCAGGACGGGGTGGCCCTCCTCCACTTGGATAGGGCGGGCAGACCAGGTAGTCAGGTAGCTCTCGCCAGGCGAGAACTCAATGAGAGAAACAAAGGGATGAGGGAATTGCTTTTGCTTGGAGAAAGTAGGACCACCCCACAGTTGCACACCCTGGGGATGAACGGATGCGAGATATGTACCCTTGGGGGACCACTGGACGAAAAGCTGCGTCCAGTGAGCACGGTCCACTACGTTCTCCGGTGGGTTGCTCTTGTTGTTCCAGAAAACTCCAACCTTGTCGCCGCGGTAAAGGGCGAACTGGTCACGGGCGTTGGCGTCCCCGATCCACGAGCGCAAGTGCTCTTTCTCTGCGAATGGTTCGATAGTCGGGGGCTTGTATTCCTCGTCGATGCGTCCTTCTCGGCCATAGCGTTCAATATCCATCAGCTTGTTGACGAGGAGGGTGTGCTTTTTATCAAGGGGCGTTCCGTGCAGTTGCTTCACGGCGGCGACGGCTTGCTCGGGGGTCTCGTATTCGACGAAGGCAAAACTGGGACCGCGTGTTAACCCCTGCTTTACCGTATATTCCAGCCCCCTGCAACCCTGGTACATACCCTTCAGTCATGTTCTTCTCGTTGACGGGCATAAAGACGGCATCTTCGGAGGTGTGGCCGACCGCGTTGAGTTTCCTCAACAAGAACTTGACGAGCTTCTGTCTGTTGTCCTCCGGGACGACGGGTAGTCCATCAATAACGACAAATGTGTCCAGGCCTTCCTCGAGTTTAACTTCATATTGCGCCTTGAGGTCTAGATGGGAAAAATGAATGGATTAGCGACTATCCGAAGAGGGGCTCGCTAACTCCATATAGGTCTCTATCATACCGGAGAAGTCAATCTCCTCCTCCTCCTCTTCGTGGAGATCTTGCTCCGACAGGTTCTCGAAGCTAGGTGCCATGATTGTTTGCGCTGATGGCGATGTGAAGGGGGCTGCCGATTCTGGTGGAGAGATGGAAATCTTTGTGTGTGCGGGCCGACCTCAGTGCCGACACAGCGGCGGTTAGTCACGTGATAGATTCAGAACCAGGAACTAGATGCCGCCGATTCGACGTCCTTTGTTATCTAGCTGTATAATAACTCATTGATCTGAAGCTGGAACCTGGCTTATGAGTAATGGACGTGTGTGAATTCTAGGTCTGATCGATGACACATGTTGGCATAGTGCACTGTTGTATACAATCAACTGACTTGGCATTGTGAATGCCTAAGGCACTAAGGCATTAAGACCCCAAGTTCCGCAGCTCATACTACACCGGATTTGCGATCTTGCCTGCATCCGCCTGGGGAAATCAACAACAGCTCCACGCACTCGTCCTGTCCTTACACTTCGGGGCTTCTCTTTGCTTTTGCAGGCTATCTTCGCCCTCTAATTGCTCTCGTTCCACCTTTGTTGAGCATTTCCTTTTGTCTTTGCTATATCTTTGGCATCCCGATCTCAAGCCCCGCCGGTCCTAAGCGCCAACCCTCTACCGGCACCCTTGTCACCTCTTCCTCTCAAGCAATCACAGTATCACCAACAGTATCGCGGCAGCATTATAGTAGCTTGAGGCCGTCTTTCCTTGCTACAATTGCAGCTTCTAATCTTCATACTCCCTCAAGATAAGGGTATAGCCAAGCTTTGGACAGGATGTCGCGTACGTTCGGCCTCTCTAATTCCCGGTCTAACCGCGCCGCGGTGCCTGTCAACTGACATCATATCACTCCATTCTTCACAATAGTCTCTCCAAGTGCCCGCGAAGAATACATACCGATCATTGATTCAATCCTATCCGCGAGTGATTTGAATACGATCTCAGAAAAGCGCATTCGCAAAGGCCTTCAAGATGAAATCGGCTATGATCTTACCCCGCAAAAGGTCTGCGCTTTTGTTGCACATAATTCCTACATCTCGCCGCCTTGGTATGAGCAAAATGCTGACTTGTTTCTTTCGATAGGCGGCCATAAAGCAGCTTATTATGGAAAGGTTCGACATCTTTGCTGAGAAGAAAGGCATCGGTGCTCCACCTACACCGAATGGCGATACACAACACGGCGACTCTGCGACGCCTGTGGAACCCTCGTCGCCCTCTCAGTCCTCGACGGCGCAGAAGCGTCAGGCGGATAGCGCCGATCTCGAAGACCTCCCAACCAAGACGCCTCCGCCCAAGAAACAAAAACATAAGCCTAGCCATGATATCGATGCGGATGCGCTCTATGCTGCGAAGCTGCAGGCGGAGGAAAATCTTCGAGCTCGCCCTACACGAGGTGCAAGCACACGTAAAGCGGCACCAGTCAAGAAGAAAAAGTCTACTGCGAAAACGGCGAAGAAGGTGAGGGTAGAGGACGATTCAGACATCGGGTCGGGCTCAGAGTCAGGAAAGAAAGTAAACCGCTCGGGAGGATTTCACGTAAGTGAACTGACTGATAGACATCATGACCTCTGCTAATCTGACCCAGAAACCTCTCAACCTCTCACCTGCACTTTCGGCATTGCTGGGGGGTGCGGCGACGGTATGTATCGCTTTACAGACGTTCATACCCATCTAATGTTGTCGGTAGATGTCGCGACCGCAGACTGTTAAGAAGCTCTGGGAGTATATTCATGCGCATGATCTTCAGGACCCGAGCGACAAACGACAAATTCTCTGTGATGATCCTATGCGCGCTGTCTTCAAGCAAGACCGTATACATATGTTCACAATGACGAAGATCCTCAGTCAAAATTTGTATAGCCCTGACGAATAGCCCGTCCCCCTTTCCGGGAGAAACGACCCATTCTGGCATGCATTTCCCAGAAAAGACGGCCTGTGGGAACTGCATTCCTGTCGCGATTATTTACGAATCTCTTGTTTACTCGTTGCACCGCATTTGGCAATCAGGCGCTAAAGTTCTCGGTCCATCTATCTTTGCACAACGTTATCATCTCTTTTCGAGGCATTCATTATTATGCATATTGCAATACCTCGTTCTTGAACGAAGGGTTCTCTTACGCTTGTCTTTCTATTTTTCCTATGTTCATTACCCTCGATCCTCTCCAGCGGGAGTTGGTGTTGGCTTGCAGGCTGGCGTGCTTGAATTACCATCTAGACACTTGCTATCATTGGGTTTGGCTACTATAATTGATCTTTTCCTCAAAGCGAGCATCTATGACTCTTAGAGAGATCAGTAGTCGTTGGTAGGGAGCAATTGGTCACGGTCACAGCCCCAATTATGACTCCGTTAGACCACTAGTGAGTAATCATGAGCCATCCACCAGACAGCCAAACTAGCACAGGCCAGTGGCAATCAGAGTAGAGTCAAATCCGTGAAGGGAGTCCTATACTGAGCACATCAGACTGCAGTCCTTATGTTGAAGCAAAAGGTACATAGTTGACAGTAAGGTCGCTTGATCACTAAGCACGTTGTGTTCGTTTCATCTCCGACAGGCCAACTTTTTTCTGCCCGCTTCCCGACTAATTTCCCCACTGCTCCAGGCAGGCGCTCTCCTCATTCACACCCCTGGCTGCAACAAAATCGAAGAGAGCGTTAAGCTCTGAATTTTCCAGAGTCCTCTACTAGGGATTCTGTAGTCCACCGGTCCGCCAATATTGCCCGCATAGTTGTACCCGCACAATGTCCGACTCTCAGCCTTCCCAGGCCCCCGCCCCACAGAGCCAGAGCCGTGGTGGTGGCCGTCGGCGCGGCCGCGGAGGAGCTCGCCAGGCCGAGCATTCACTCTCCGATGCTCCAGATGGTGCCCCAAGAGGACCGCGATCAAGAGGCAGCGGACCGCGGCGCGGTGGAGGTCGAGGGGGTCGTGGCGGACAGAATCGCGGCATAAGCAAGCCGGAGACGGCGGGTGACGTCGACGGCCACCGTGCATCGGAAACTACCACAAGCACAGATAAGGGAAAGGCTTCTGAGGAGGCGGAAGATGATGCTGATGACGGCGAAATTTGCTTCATCTGTGCCTCGAAGGTCGAGCATAACTCGGTGTCGCCGTGTAATCACCGCACCTGTCATATTTGCGCTCTGAGACTGCGCGCATTGTACAAGAATAAAGCTTGTGCTCATTGTCGGGTATGTTCCATATAAGAGCCTTCTCTAAATAGATCGCTAACCCACACGGTCCTCCAGACTGAAGCTAGTTACGTTATCTTCACAGATGACCCCGCGAAGCGATACGAAGATTTCCAGGACAGCGACTATTCCCAGAAAGATGATAACCTCGGTATCAAATATGAACAGGATGAGATCTTCGAGGATACAGTCCTGTTGCTCCGTTATAACTGTCCAGACCGCAACTGTGATGTTGCTTGCTTGGGATGGCCCGACTTACACCGTCACGTCAAGACTAAGCATGGTAAAGTGATGTGGTATGTAACAGCCCACTCGATCCAGCCACCAGTGCATGAGCTTACTCTACTGTGAATCATAGCGATCTGTGTACTCGGAACAAGAAAGTTTTCACCCACGAGCATGAGCTGTTTACACACGCTGAGCTGCGCAAGCACGAAAGGCATGGCGATGATGTCCCTGGAGCACTTGACCAGAGCGGCTTCAAGGGTCATCCGGAGTGTGGTTTCTGTCGTCAGAGGTTTTACGGAGATGATGAACTATATGCTCATTGCCGTGATCGCCACGAGCGATGTCACATTTGCGATCGACGATCTACAACCCGCCAGCACCAGTATTACATCGACTACAATGCGCTGGAAAGCCATTTCCAGACAGACCACTTCCTCTGCCTGGACAAAGAGTGTCTGGAGAAAAAGTTTGTGGTCTTCGAATCTCAAATGGACCTGAAAGCCCATCAACTAGAGTGTCATCCGAACGGGCTATCAGGACGAGACGCCCGCGTGGACATGACTGCTTTCGATTTCAGAACGCCATATCAGCCCCAGCAGCGACAACGTCGTGGAGCTGGCCGCGGGCGAGACCCGAACGCGGAAACGGCGCCTTTGTCAACTGTGCAACCACTGCGACGAGACGAGATTGCTTATCAGCGCCAGATGGCCATTCAAAGCGCACAGTCCGTCTCAACACGGAGCTTCGGTGGACAGCTATCTCGCGACGAAACGCAGACCGTGCGTGCCCCCGCGCGCTCCTTAGGACCTACCCCTGCTAGTACTCCACCCGTGCCTGCAACGCCAGTGAACGAGCTTGAGAACCTTAGCATCACATCAGCCACCCCAGAGGACCAAGCGCGTCGTCTTCGGCACTCTGCAGTTATTGAGCGAGCCTCAAATCTCCTCGGTAATGACCCAACGAAGCTCGGCGAATTCCGCACTCGAGTATCCAGCTACCGTACCGGTGGCATCTCCGCAACCGAACTAATTGACGCCTTCTTCTCCCTCTTTGACACATCTAGCTCTGAACTAGGTAAGCTTATCAAAGAGCTTGCAGAGATTTATGAGGACTCCAGTAGGCGCAACGCCTTACTGAAAGCTTGGAATGACTGGCGTGCCATCAACGAGGATTATCCCGCACTTCCAGGACCGGGCGGTAGTATCCCAGGCATGTCCCCCGGTACCACGAATACAAGTGGCACAGGCGGCACAGGCGGACGACGAGTCCTGCGTTTGAAGTCCTCAACAGCGCAGTCTTCTCGAGCTGCTGCCGGCAGGAACGGATCGTCATCCTCCTCAACAACCAATCCATTCCCTCCTCTCTCCTCATCACGGCCTACTGCACGTGCCGCTGCAGCCTCCTCTGCATGGGGAGGCTCTACGGTCACTGCACCCCCACCACCACCTCAATCACGAACCTACGCAAACCCCTCATCTCGCACAAGCAACGCCCCCTCCACATCCTCAGGCCGCGTCAACACCCGCGACTCAGAAGCCTTCCCCTCTCTCCCGGCTGCCCCTAAACCAAACGTCCTCATGGCTGGTCTAACGCGCGGTACTGTCCGCTGGGATGATCGCCGACCACAACCAGCAAATGCTTGGACATCGTCTGCTGATCCGGGACCTGGCTCTTCTTCGGAGGACTTCCCGGATCTTTCTGCTGGCGGAGGGAAGAAGGGTAAGGGAAAGAAGGGCAAACAAACGCTTTTCCATTTCGGTTGATGATAGTTTTCGGAAAAGTATATGACATAATACATCTAACATATCATGCTTTCTGCCCCAATGTGATGTTGAATCAAATAACATAGAGTTTGCCGTGTTTGCCTGCTTTAAGCAAGGTGTTCTGAGTAGAGAAAGTGTGCTGACGATGGGTGTACTTTAATGTGATCACAAACATGTCATGTATAGCAATTGCGCGCTTGGTCCTGCACATGCTGCCACCTAAACCTCCACTTCCATTAGTTCTTCACCTATCTCAGGTCTGTAAATGTCTCTCTTAGCACTCTCGAACGTCTCCCTCAACGACGTCTCAGTAGGCGGCCACTCCGAAGTCGACAAGTACGCTGTAGGAGGCTGTGAGGTCTCCGAAATGGACCCATCGAGAAGCTGCGGCTCCGAGCTATGCTCGCTCCATTCATCCCCTATATCAATGTCAATGTCATTGTCATTATCATCGCTCATGACAATGCTCTCACTACGACCTCCACAATGCAGCTGACTCTCGTGGCCATGTTCATCCATGCCGTCAATAGCTCCGTCCTTCACGGCTCGCCCTAAATCTCCGTATTGCACCTCGTTTTGATTTACATGGACGTTGGTTCCAGCTATGCTCTCATCACCCATATCTGCAGCACGGCCCCCATTAACCAGCTCAATGTCGTGCTCATCCTGACTGAAAACCGCAATGTCCTCATCAGCAGCTGCCATATGCAGCGCAAACTCATCCTGCAAGCGCTTCAGGAATCTCCGCAGCGTCTGGCCCTCCATATTCCCATTCCGTGCATGGATGAGCTCTTCACGGAGCGAAAGAATGAGTTTCCGTTTTCGAGCTATAGCAAGAGCTTTCGTCTGGCTGTGTCGCCGTTGCGAGAGCCGGTTAAGTTCCTCCGAAACATTGTGTGCTATTTCCAGGACAGCGGGCGGGAGCTCGACGAGTTTGGCAAGGGCCAGACCGTAGAATTGCGTCTTGTTCGGGCCTTCGGTGATCTTGTAGTACATTGTCATCTTGGAGGCGTCGGGCGAGATTTCGGAAGCTAGATGCAAAGAGACGACCCCGGTGCGTTCGGCCATGATGGTGGCTAGGTCGTGAAAGTGCGTGACGAACCAGACAAGAGCGTTGGACTGGACGAGGGCTTCTGCTATGGCGAGAGCGATGGCCAGTCCGTCTGTTGTGGATGTGCCACGGCCGAGTTCGTCGATGATTACCATGCTCCGAGGGTTAATGTTGTGAAGGATAAACGCCATCTCGCGCATTTCGGCGGCGAAAGTCGAGACGTTCGCTTCCATGTCGTCGGCTGTGGAGACGCGCGCGAAGAGCTGGTGGGTTATAGGGAAGGAGGCGTACTCTGCTGGGACGAAGGAGCCGATTTGGGCCATGATAGTCATCAGGGCGAGGGCGCGGATGTAGGTTGATTTGCCGCTCATGTTGCAGCCCATAATTATCTGGAAGCGGGTTTGGTATGTAGCGTAGGCATCATTTGGAATGAATTTCTTAGTATGGATTTTCTCCTTGATGGGGTGTCGACCGGACTTGATGGCTAGAGTGTCGGTTAGTTCTGGCCGGATGTAGTCATTTGATGTGGCGAGCTGGGCGAAGGCAGCGAGCATGTCGAGCATTGAGATAGCCTCGCTTACTTTGAATAAAATGGATATCTCTTCACAAACGTTCTGGATAAGCTCCTGGATCGTCTTATCACTAAGGCTGATAACTTCGTTGTGGGCGTCAGTGATCTTCTGGTTGAGTTTGACCAGGTCGAGGGTCTGGCACTCGATGCGGTTCTTCTTGCGATAAACGTTGATAAAAACGTTTGGAAGAGCCCTCATCTCCGTAGCTGGGAGGCTGATGTAATACTGGCGTGCGGGATCATATTTCAGATCAAGCCCTAAGTCGTGGGTTTCTGCGGGATGTCAGCATGGAGAACTTTGAGTGATCTAAAGTAACTTGCCCGATAGCTCTGTCACAAGATCCGATGCATCCATGGTTGCCTCCTTGTAAGTCTGTCTCGCAACGTCGAGCAGGCTGTTGACTCCGACCTTAACCAGGATAGGCGTCATCAGCTGCGATCATGGCCCTGTAGATTCGGCTAACCTTAACACAGTAAATCCGTTGGTTTCGAAGGTCAAGTGGTTTGGTTTGATATGTGACATGCTCATTCAGCGTGGACTCGATCAATTGTTCGACCGTACAATGTCCTGCTGGGGCGCAGATCTGGGACAGGTTAGTGTCATATAGTTCGAGAAACAGGTGGCCTACATCTCTGATTGTTAGGAGGAGGCTGCTTTGAGCCGCTGCGAGCGCTTTGTACACTGAATCTATGGCAGAAACATACGTCTTGAGCATTATAACGTGGTTGACCGATTGTTCGACGTATTGGAATGTACGTTTGTTTGGGACAAGAATGAGCTTGATTGTAAGCCAAAGAATTTAAGGCACCGTAGCCAACTCACAGATGTCAAGACTTTGTCTGCATCCACGAACCCTTTCAAGGCTATATACCATATCAGTCACCGACTCAAGAATACAATTGATGAATGACGCGCCTTGTCGCACAGAGAAGAACATTTCCTCCTTAGTGGATAAGTCCTCAACTGCCTCGTACCGCGCGGTCAATTTGGTTGCTTCTGTCGATGGTTGGAGGATATTGGCTCTCAGGAGCCGCGACCCCATCGGTGTGAGAGTCTCGTTCAACAGACCAAAAAGGCTCTCATTTGACTTAACATTGTGAAGGTTTTGTATCAGCTCCAGAGAGATTATCGTGGATAGGTCAATTGACATCGACCCCTGCGAAGGCTCGAAACGGATGCGGAGAGAATGGGAAGCGAAGATTCTGTTAAGCTCAAGTTCGACATACTTCAGTACCTAGGCATCATTAGCTGATAGAGTTATGAGCGAGAATCCGCATACCGCGGCAAAGCAACAAGCAGCAAAGTAGTTTCCTCCCAGGCTAACTTTGATGGAATCAACGTCTTCCGCAAACCCCAGCCGCTCTACATATTCATGGCCAGACTTCTCCGCATAGTACTTGCGATCCAGGAAGGTGAATGTAGTGTCAGGAATGTTTGTTTGGATTATATGAAGAAGTTTAGACTCTCGCGCAGTATTCATGAAGAGGATCTCGGTGGGCTCGAACACGCTGATCTTGGTAATGGTTTTGGCGTATGTTTGGCTGTCACATATTTGACATAGAACAGCTTCTGCAGTTGACAGATTCACGAATGCTAGGCCAACAGTGGATGACACCCCTCGGGACTCGCTGATAGCACAGACGATGTCCTGCGATGCAACGCTCGTGGCGGTGGTAGTCGGCCTACCAGTTCTGTTCGTTTGTCTCGATGGAGGGGCAAAGTCGGTTGCCGCAAACGAGGAAGCTCTGGAAAATACTGTCGACATATTGGGATGTCACAAATGCAGGGGCCCGATATCGAATTAGACGAAGCCATTGAGGGTGATGGGAGAAAAGCAGTGGTGGGGACCCCAGGTCTATATACATGGTTCCGAAACGGGCTTAGCGCCATCTCCGATAAGCCAGCGGAGCACTTTTTTGTTGCGGAGATTTCATCTTTTCTTCAACAAGCGCAAAATGGCTACTCTCCTTCCTCCCCCGAGCAAACGCCAAAAGACGGAGATCGCCGAAAAGGCGCGTCTGCAGCAGGAGATCCAGGGCATTCCGGACGACCTGGGGAGCGTGCGAGTGCAGTTCTTCGACCAAGCGACCGGCGCACCAACAGGCCCCGCGGTCTCTGTCCCAGTAGCCGATGCTACCGTGAAGAACCTAGAGACTCTATTAAACACATTGCAAGGGAATGTAGGTATGCGCGCTGGATTAGTGTCTGCTCTTGGCGCCGGGCTAATCTTGCCTAATGTTATAGGAAGATGATGAGCGAGTACCCTACCGATTTACATTTCAGGGCGACGGCAAGGACAGCCAGACGATTGATATCTTAGCCGACTTATACCACTCTTTACTAAAGCCGGGACTGAAAACAACCGAGGACACCGTTCAACTATACTTTACCCCGCAAGCTGTTTTCCGAGTCAAGGCTGTTTCACGATGCTCTGCCTCCATCGCTGGACACGGAGAGGCCATTCTCGCTACCTCGTTCTCCCCCGTTTCTTCTTCTACAATGGTCTCTGGCAGCGGTGACTCGACGGCCCGTATTTGGGACTGTGACACTGGGACACCATTGCACACCCTGAAGGGACACACGAGCTGGGTACTAGCCGTCAGCTACTCGCCGAACGGATCGATGATCGCAACAGGAAGCATGGACAACACGGTACGGATATGGGATGCAAAGAAGGGCCAAATCCTTGGAGCTCCGTTAAAAGGACACGCAAAGTGGATTACCAGCTTAGCTTGGGAACCATACCATCTCCAACAATCCGGCCACCCTCGTCTAGCCTCTGCCTCGAAAGATTCCACCGTCCGCATCTGGGACGTCATCTCGAAGCGCGCAGACATTGTACTCTCTGGGCATAAGGGCTCAGTGACCTGCGTACGGTGGGGCGGAACCGGCAAGATCTACACATCCTCACACGACCGAACGATCAAAGTATGGAACTCACAAACCGGCACCCTCATTCAGACGTTGTCTGCCCACGCCCACCGCGTAAACCACCTCGCACTCTCTACAGACTTCGTACTCCGCACAGCCTACCACGACCATACCGGTAAAGTCCCAGAGTCCGACGCAGACAAGGTCGCCATGGCCAAGAAGCGCTTTGAACAAGCAGCCACAATCAACAACAAGATCGTCGAGAAACTCGTCTCCGCGTCTGACGACTTCACGATGTACCTCTGGGACCCAGAGAGCTCCAGCAAACCTGTTGCACGCCTTCTCGGCCACCAAAAGGAAGTCAACCACGTTACGTTTTCCCCTGATATGGCGTACATCGCCTCCGCCGGGTTCGATAACCATGTCAAGCTCTGGAACGGGCGAGACGGAAAGTACGTTTGCAGCCCCAGCTTCTTCACTAGACACAATTAGTGACTAATTTACCTCGACAGATTCATCACGACCCTCCGCGGCCACGTAGGCGCCGTCTACCAGTGCTGTTTCTCGGCTGATTCGCGTCTCCTCGTGTCCTCTTCCAAGGACACCACGCTGAAGGTGTGGAATGTGCGCACCGGCAAGCTTAGCGAAGATCTGCCGGGTCACAAAGATGAGGTGTTTGCTGTTGATTGGAGTCCGGACGGCCAGAAGGTTGGAAGTGGTGGAAAGGACAAGGCTATTCGGATATGGAGGAACTAGTTGAATGCTGGTTATAAATCTCATGATATTTTGCTGTGCACTACGTTCATCCCCTCGAAGTAGATCATGTGCTGTACATATGCCATAGTAAATACTTGGAAGAGCCGCTGTAGATCACACATTCTAGGCAACTAGGTCATGGTCATGGTCGGACCAACCTCTACACCTACGAAGTTCATACCTAGCAGTGTAAAATTTGACAGAAAGAAAAACCCAACCGGGCTATACATTAAACAAAAAATGCTATGCTAAAATATGTACTATTATTGCGCGAGGCCGGAACAAAGTAAAGGCCCGCGCATGATAAATTATAGGTCCTGGCTCCTGGTCACGTGAGCTTATTAGGAATTATATAAAATAATAAAATTACTTAGGGTTGCTATAATTAGTTTAAAAAAAATATTATTATATAACTTTTTTTTATTACCTAGATATTATGGTGTTAGGTTTACTATAATTAATTTAAAAAAAGCACTATTATATAACTATTTTTATTATTAAGTTTTTATAATATTATTATTTAATATTCCTAGCCTTACTTTTTATATTTAAATATTATATAACTTATATTTATAAAATTAAATATAATATTAACCACTTGCTGCACTAGCTATAATTATTAACTTTTAATAATATAATTTTAGCATGCCGCGGGCTACAAGCTTACTAATATTTATAATAAATATAAAAATTAATAAGCGCTTTAGGTTTACACAGCTTTATTTATTTATTATTATTATTAACTTAGCTTTAAAAAAATAAAAAGTGCTTTACTATAATTACTAATTTTTTTAATTTACCTGCTTAATACCCCCCTTTTAATAAAATTAACCTAAATATATAATAACCGTGTTTATTATAGCTAAAACCAGACTATTAATATTATAATATATACTTATTTAATAACTTATAATAAGTAAAATAATATTATAAAAATATAAAATAATAATATACTTAATAAATAATTAATTAAATAACTTATATAATTACTTTTAGTAAACCCTAACCTTTTTATTTACCTTTAATATACTTATTATTATTTATAATTTTTACTACTTTTATACCCCTTTTCACGCCTGTAATAACTATATTTTTATTATTATTTATACCTTGCTTACTAGCTAGGCGCCCGTAGCTAGCTATTATTATTAATAAAAATAATATTAAATTAAATATTAATAGCTTTACTACTATAAGCTCCTAGTTAATTATTAAAAATAAATTATTTTTACTTTTATAAATTATTAAAGTTAACTTTAGCCTTTTTATATATATAAGCCTAGACTATATTTTTTTACTATATTTATTTTTTTTTATTAATTTTATATATTTAGCTATTATAAACTATAATTAAAAATTATTAAATAACTTTTATTACTAGCTTAATATATACTAGCTAAAAACATGTAGTTATTATTAAAAATAATAGTTTAATATAAATTTTTAAAAAAGGGATAATATTTACAAGCGTTACGTGTTAGCTAACTAAAATTAAAAAATTTTTAAATTTAGTTTATAAAATAAGATAAATCCTAGTAATATTTTTTTTTACCTTTTGTCAGGGCCAACATTGATCCGGGTCACGCCATTAAGCAATGCCTAAGGCACCCAGGTCACGCCACCGTGAAGCATTAACATCACCCGTGCGGGATGCCTTAGGCACCCATTTAGCTTAGTAAACCTTATTATTATAAATTATTATATAAGACTTAATATGGTGTTAAATTTAATATAATATTAGGTTTAATATAATATTAGCTTTAACCAGGGACCTTAGCTTAGGGACCTTAAGTTTTAGGTATTATTTAAGTAATAAAATAAAGGCGTGCCTTATATTAAATTACCTTAATAATTAAAAAGTAGCTATAAGGGGCGTAAATATAAAAATATTTAAATATTACCTACTTTTTAAATAAAAATAACTTAAAAAATTACTTAAAGGCCTTAGGCCTTTAGGCAAGGCCTATATAAAAAAGCTAAAGGCTATAATATATTTAGTTTTTTAAGTAATTCTTTTAGTTAAATTTATTAAGGTTTTAAATACTTTATTTTTATTAGTTAAAAATACTTTACTAAGCTTTATTATTATTAATAAAAAATATTTAAGTGCTAGGGCGCCCTTATAGTTAGGATTATTTTTTTTATTAATTTTTAAATATTATTAACATGGTATCCTAAATTAAATCCTTAAATAAATAAAGGCGGACTAGAGCTATTTTAATTAAGGTTTTTAAAATATAAACTTAGGTATAAAAAAGCTTAAAACTATTATTTTTACCTAAACTTATATTATTAATATATAATAACACCCTTATTATTAAGGTTAATAACTTAGACTATAAATTAAATAACTTATTTTTTTTAGTAGGTAAGGCTTAAAAAGATTTTTTACTATCTTATTTTTTTAAAGACCCTATATAGTATATTAACCTTAAATATATTATAATAAGTACTATTTTAATTAAAAATATTACCTTAGGAATGCCTGTGGCTAGGCCATTTACTATAATATTATAATAAAACATGCTATTAAAACTAAAGCCTAATAAAGGTAAGTAAATAGCTTGGTAAACTAAAAAAAATTAGTAGCTAAATAGGCTACCTTTACCTACTAAAAATCTTAAAAAGCTATTTAACTTATTAAGCTTAAATAATAATAATAATACCACAAGCAGAATACCGCCTAATTAAAACTAAATATATAAATAACCTTAAATATTTATTAAAAATAAGGTTATTAAGGTATTAACACGGTAATTATTATAAAGTAAGCCTAAGCTAAAAAAACTAAAGCCTTTAAATATTAAGATTTTTAATAATAAGGACTTAACAAAACTAAAAATATTTTTTAATAATTTTAAAAATATATTTAATAAAGCCCCTGTGTAGTATAGCACTAAAATAAGTAAAGTTATTTACTTAATAGGTAAAGTTAAAAAAAATACATGGTATAAATAGCGTGTAAAGTAAAAGAAGCTTACTAAACCACCCACGTGGGTAATATTTAAGTAATTTATATGCTAATAAGTTAACCCAAAAAAAAATTAAGCTAGTTAAAAAACAAAGTATTTTATAAATAACTAATAAAATAGCTAATTACTAAAGGTATAATTAATAAAGTTCTAGAAAATAATTTTTAACCCCCTCCGGGGTATTACTAAAAAAGCTATTATTTATATTTATATATTAAATAAGCTATATTAGCAGTATATAACGCGCCTGTAAAATTCTTTAATTATTTTTAAAAGTATTAATATAAAAATAACCTAATATAAGTTAATTTTAGCACGCGAAAAGCAAAGAGCGCCTAGGAATAATAACTAAAAAAAAAATAATAAAAACCCTCCTGCTATAAAAAATAAGAATTTAGTAAAAGGCACTAACTAAAGCTAGAATAAAGGCATTTTAATAAATAAAAAAAATTAAAATTTATTAGGGCAGCCCTTAAGAAAGCAAGGTTAAAAAAATTATTATAGCTTTAAAAATAAAACTAGTAAGTAAAAGCTAACGCAAGCCAAGCGTTAGCTCTTGCCTAAAAAAAAAAATAAATAAAAAAAAAAATTATTATTATACATGCGGCGCGAAAGGGTATTTTATAAAAAATTATTTAACTAAAATAAAAGTAAATAAAAAATTAAAAACTAAATAGTAATTACCAGGCCCTAAGCTATTAACTTTAACTAGTATAAATAAACCCACTGCATTCCCTATCCTAGTAGATTTATAAGTTTAAAAAAATAATTTAAATAAATAATTTAAAGCTTTACTAAATACTAGGGCTAGTGTAAATTTTCTTTTAGTCTAGTTTTTAAAAAAATAAGAAATTAAAATGGCTGCAAACCAGATGCTATAACTAGTTTAGTATATTAATAAAAAAACTACTTCGTGCTATAGCTAATTTAAGGCTAAAATATAAATTTATAATTTTATTAATAAGATAAAAATATTTAATATAATATTTTATATTATTAATTTTATTTATAATAAGTATTAAGCTATGCTCGGACGGCCTTAAATAGCTAAAGTAAATTTAAATATTTTTTTAATTATTAGTTAATGGCGTTGGCGGTATTATACCCCACGCTTTTAAATTAAACTAGCAAAAAAATTTATTAAAATAATAAAAAAGGGGCCTATACTCTTAGTCTTATATAAACTAAAAAAAACTAAAGGCGTACTAGTTACAGTCCTGCCTTTTTAATATACTAAATAAAGTTAGGTTTTTTTTAAAAAAAATATCTTAACTTTTAAGTAAGAAAGTATATTATAAGATCCTTTTAAAAAAAGGTAAAATACCTTTTTAGGGGCCTATTTATAGCCTCTCCTATTATAAATTATTAACTTTAAAAAAGTATTTTAATAAGATACTAGCAAGGGGTTAAATATAACTATTTTAAAGTTTAATAAAAGCGCCCGTTTTTTTTACTTAAAAAGTAAATAAATTTTTGTGTTTATATATTAATTATTAAAAATTAAATATAATAACCTAAAAAAATTGTTATTTATTGCCTTATATTAACAAACTTATAAACCAGTTAGTAAATATATAATACTTTACTAAACTTAACCTTTATAACACGTATTACCACATCCGTATAAAGCGGGGGAATAAATAAAAAACAGTATTTTAAACCTAGTACAGCCACTATAAATATATAATTATATTATTTGGTTTTACTAATATACCTATAATATTTTAGTTTTATATTAATATAGTAATAAGCGGGGTTCTTAATAATTTTTATGTGGTTTACCTAAATAATATCCTAATTTTTTTAAAAACTAAAAAGGAGTATATTTAACATGTTTAAGAAGTTTTAAAACACCTGTAAAAGCATAATTTATATATAAAATTATTAAAGTATAGTTTTTATTAAAAAAAGGTAAAGTTTCTTAGTTTTATTATTAGCCAGGGTAAAATATTTATTAACCTGGTGTAAAGTTAAATAATTACTAATTAGCCAGCATTAATATTATATTATAAGTTATAAGTTTTTTTA